CTGGGCCCTTGTCCTCCCACAACCATCAGTGGCAGGTTGAATGACTCATCATTGTACTTTACTTGAACTGGTGTTGTCCCTATAACGTTAACGTCTTCTCCTGTGTAAGTGCGTAGTTTCGCATTGGTATTCTCAAGTTTCTTTTCCTTGAAGAATTTGCTAAATGTGTTTTTAGAAATCAAAGTTACTGCTGAGCCAGTGTCAATTTCCATTTCCAGGTGGTGGCCGTCAATGCATAAAGTGGTTTTGTATGCCATACTGTTACCACTTAATGTAAATAGATTGTAGGTTTGATCAGGCTCATCTTTTTCATCTACACTCACTTGATTTATTGGTCTTGAAGAAGATGAGGCTTGTTGTGATCTTTGTTTGGCTTTACATACCTTTGCTATGTGACCCTCTTTGCCACAAAAGAAACAGGACTTATCTTTAAACGGGCAGTGTTCCTGGTTGTGTTTATCGCCACAACAATAACATGATTTCTTAATTTTGGATAACTCTCTGGTCTCCACTTTGTGGACCTCTGAAACAGGCGGTGCAGAGACTTGCTGTTGGATATTTTTGGCTCCTGAGGTGGCGAGCTCAATGCTTGTAGCGATTTCAAAGGCTTTTGTAAAAGTGAGTTTTTCGTAATCGCTGGAAAGTAGTCGCTTTTGTATTGTGTCGTTGCATTTTGTCCCCATGACGAGTCAGTCTCGAAGCATTTCTTCTAGAACCGCACCAAACTGACATGTTTCGCTAACTTCTCTCAAGTTAGCAGCAAATGATGCAACAGACTGATCTGTTGTTCGCTCACAGCGATAAAATTTGAACCGTTGAACTATTGGCGAGGGTTTTGAGTTGCAGTGGTCTTCTAAAGCCTTACAAAGCTCGTTGTAAGAAAGCTCTGAAGGCTTTTTTGGTGAAACTAGTGAACGTAGAAGGCTGTATGTTTTGGCGCCAACGACGCTTAGGAGTATGGCTCTCTTCTTGTTTTCATTTTCGACGTCGTTCGCCAAGAAATATTGAGAAAGTCGTTCCGAATAGTGGATCCATTTTTCGTTAGTAGGTCAAATTCTTCGATTTTACCGTACACTGCCATTTTTAGTTATCCTCGTCGCCAAAATGACCTGTATCAGACTACTAGTAAGACAGAAAAGTAAACCTTGTGGCTAAGTCCGCCATGATTTATTGTGCAAAGTAAAACCTTGCCGCAGGGCAGCATGGGAATTTACACAGGGGGCCCAATACACAACAAATTTGATTATCATTAGCTATTAGTACATGTAGTTGGAAACATGGTAGAAGTAACTGGAAATAAGGTAGAAATAGCTGGAAATAATGTAGAAGTAACTTGAAAAAGGTAGAAGTAACTGGAAATAAGGTAGAATACAAGGTACGAGTACTTCCTCTGGTTTCCAGTTACTTCACGTGGTACAAATTACAATCAGGGATTGGCTGGATACCTCATGAATAGTTAATGCATATGAGAAATTCCTTGAAAATACAGATTTATCCTCTCATTCTGGAAAGATCTCTCATGAGTGAGAGATTTTCAACACAAGAAGATTTAAATCTAGCAACCATATAATGCACAGTCTATCAATCTTAAGCCCCCGGGGGGAGGCCGGGCAAGGGGTACTATTATGATCAATCTAATAAATTATTCTTGAAAATGACGCGCGATGGCGTCGAAACGTCGAAATCTCTTGTTGTCTTTTAAGAATGCCAAAGCAAAAAAAAAGACCAGTACAAGAAGTCTTGTTACTGGAACAAATTAGATTAAACTGGTTCAAAAATATATTGAACCTGAACTACAACATAATTGTCAATATACTGAATTAACATAAATCACAATTTATTTTGAAAAAATGACCACGGCCGCTCTGCAGCAGGGCATTAAACACGGCATAATGTTAGTGAGAATCTTGAGCCATTTACATGTACAAATGTAGATTTTATCTGTCATGATTATGGACTGGAAATATGCCTAGAGGTGCAAATACAAATCCTCAAGCACTAAGAGACTCCAATAATCATTTTGCAATTGCCAAATTTTCTTTACACCATTTCATTTTTATTATTCAGGCCTCAAAATTTTGATATGCAAGAGGGTAATGTCCGCAACAAAAACTGCTTTAATTATTTAATCTCATTTGCAACTCAAGAATTACTCTCAGCATGATCTCATTACTGCTGCTCTTTTAGATTAACATGTGAACAAATATTTCAAAAGAAAAGTAACAAAAAATTAATTAATTAACTAGATGTGCTGTTGTGGACATTACCGTTGCGGACATTACCATTTCAACTTTTGCCATTTTCATTTGTGAAATATTGCTATTTTTTTAGAAAAAGTACCGTACTTCTTTTCATAGTTAAAGCATAGTACTCCTCTAAGGCATGCTTGCATGTAATAACACTGACCAAAATCTATAATTTAATTGCTGACTTTCCACTTTCAATGAATAGTCCTTTTTTCTTGCTATGTTCATTTTTCTTGGAATTATTACCTAAGTAAAATAATACTATCCCAAAAATTTAATGTCGGCAACACTTATGGGGAAATGTCCGCAACAAAGAATTTAGTCTATAGCTTCCACAATAATAAATAATATAGCTTTAATGGCCATTATTACTTAAACTAATCAGAGTTTTAGTCTCTTTGGAAGCTTTTCGCAATTCACAGCAATTCTAGCTTAAAAGCAGTCACTTAGATACATTTGGTTGATTTTAGGGTAATGTCCGCAACAGTCACTATTAATGAAATGCTAAAATACCTAAAATGACTATTTTTTAAGCATAAAGTAGTTATTGAATACTTATTTAACATTTTATATTGATTCCTGCCAAATTGTTTGCTATAATTCTATACCATCCCAAAAAAGTAATGTCCGCAACACTTATTAGGTAATGTCCACAACAAAGACATTAGTAATAAAATATCTAAGGAGGGAAAGGAGGTATCTGGTGTTTTTCACATAGTACATAGTGTGAGGGCCCCCTTGAGCTTAATTATAGCAAAGTTTGATCCACCTAGCTTGCTAAAGTTAGAAGTTGTAAGCAGTTTTGTAGCCATATTTTGCCTCTGAAGGCAACATGGAATTGACCATAAACTCAATATTTCCAGCACTTAGATTAGAGTACGACAAACCAAAAGATCAACGTCTGAACTGGGCCTTAGTCATACCTTCGTTCATCATTTGTTCTAGAAATATCTTGGTTATTCATTCATTTGCATTTTTGAATCATCCTTTTAAAGTTTTATTATTTACCATAAAAATATTAATTTTTTTAGATAATACCAGATCACATGCTACCAGTAGAAGTGTTTCTTATATTCCAAGGCAATGTACAAAACAAGCAGAGCAGTATTATCACAATGTGAGACTTGTTAGTTCATGATGATTATAATACATTTATTTAATAGACCATTTGCAGGACGTGGTAAAACACAGTCTCATATTTTGTTTGTAGGTGCTCTCAACCCTGTGCTACGTCATGTTACAAATCTTCTGTTTAATCTCATAAACTTGTGATCTCAAGCTTATTTGAATCATTCTTTTTGATTGACAGTTTCTCAATTTGGAATACCATGATGGGAACATCTATATTAAGCATGCCTTGGGCTCTAAGCCAGGTGAACTAAATTTAGATATTAATTGCTTTACTGTTTCATTATATTCAGATCATGTTTCACAATGCTGACATTTATATTAGGGACTGGATACATGTCCCTTAAAGACAATTTAAGAAATGAGAGAGTACTTTCCAAATAATCACAGATGAGTCTGTATTTTCAGGCAAAAATAAAGAAAACTTGATTGAGGATCCTGCCTGAAAAATACTTGATTGTCATGTTTGTGATGTTTTTTAAAGCACAATCCACTTTTCAGAAGTTGTCTATTAGCAATTATACAACTTTTCAGTAAAATCAGACGTTTTGATTGGTTGGCTTTCGTGTGTTATCAAAGTATAGATACACGGATTACGTCAAAACTAATTGTTTGTTGTATAAAACAGATAGATCTCATTTTTCCGTGCGTGTGTACTCTAATAGATACACAGATGACGTCAAAATGTAGTGAGAACAACAGTCACGCACTCGACTGCGTCTCGTGCGTACTTTTTTGTTCTCACTACATTTTGACGTCATCTGTGTATCTATTAGAGTACACACGCACGGAAAAATGAGATCTATTTGTTAATTCTATAATTCTTTTATGAATGGTCACCCCACAGGTGGTATAGCTGACTTTTTTTTGATTCCGTGACCATTCACAAAAGAATTGTAGACAATTCTCCAACTGAAGGAAATAAAAGAATATATCACGATTATCCCTTGTTTTCCTGGAGCCAGTTGTCCACAATTCTTTTTAATCAACCAAAATATCAAGAAAAGTCAACTTATTTTGTCGCGTTGTGTTCTAAGGTCCATGCTGTGGTGATGTAGTGTTGAATCTGTATTTTCATTTGGRTAATTACCAGGTGAAGTTTCATGACTGTGGTATGTCATGACCATGCCATGCATGTACTCATCATCATCATTGCATAGACCGCGGTCTGATTTCAATGTCAAAATCTCTCCAATGTCTTTTATCTTCCATTACTGTACTATCCTRTTGCATCCTATTGCATGTACTATCCTGTAAAAGGTCTTTGTGTTTAGATCTTAATTTTGTTTGCTGTATTATTTATTTATTTATTTATCTGCTTTATTATTATTTACATTATTAGGCAGGATTTGGCTTTGGCCTTGGTCTTATGCTTGTCATAGCAGCAATTTGTTTATACACTGCTTACCTGATTCTTAAATCATCACAACCATTTGGTAAGTTAGAGTTATTGATACAAAATTTTTACTGTCACTTTTGACTACTCATGGTCATTTTAATATTATAGATAGTATTAATTAAATATTATACGTAGTGTATTGACTATTCTTGTAAGGTGTTGATTAAAATGTTTATTTAGTGATGTTATTGTATTGTAATATGGTTCGTGACCTCATGGTCTGTTAGTTGTCGTTTACTGCAGAAGGTACAAAATGAAGTGGGTGATTCAATCTTAATGTGCGGTACATTACCATTTTTTATTTATTTTTTTTTAACTGCCCTTTTTTATTTTTACAATGTACAGTCAAACATGGTGAAATGGTGGAGTTTGGTGACATTTGCAAGCATCACTTTGGACGTGCTGGAGAGTTTGTTGCTACGTCTTTTTCTATCACTGCCATTGGTGGAGCTGCCATTGTGTTTTGGGTTTTGATGTCCACATTTCTTTACAATAGTGGCAGGTTTATTCATGGTAAATTGATTTCTATTTCATGAAGTGCTTTGATTCTAAACTTCTACAAACTATACTCTGTACATAGATTGTGGTATGTATTGCATTTTTCAATTATTTCCTTCAGGACTCAAGTGATTTCTCAAGTTATTCTTTCTTTTTCTGATTTTTTTCGTTAACATGCTTATTCTAGAAAGTTCCTTGGGTGCTTTTCCCAATAATCAATCTAGTACTGAAGGTATGTTCTAAAATTCTAAAGTTTGACCACAATATTGTTTGATAACAACAAATATTATTAGGTTTAATATCAGCAAGAACTGCTATTTGGCTGAATCTTGAGCACTTGTGCAATTTGGTTTAATGCACATGCTGCAGGCCAATGATAAAGTTACAATTTACATATAATTGATGGCACGTATGCAAAAACGGCATAGGTGACGATTTAGGGTATTTTTRAAATTTTCGAGAGTGTTTTATCAGGTATGACTTTCAAGCCGAAGGCGAGAATCTTTATACCTGATAAAACACGATCTCGAGTGTTTTAAACGGCTTCAAAAACTCCAACACTAATTTGAAACTCAAATCCGTCAAAATTCTTGAGAAATTGACGTACAAATATGTTCAGAGATAAATGGGGCAAACTGATCATGTGCAAATCACTTTACAAAGCACTCCTGTCATCCCACATTGAATACGCATAAAGTAAAATAGAACCGCTCTTGGCTGTTTACTGAAATCGGTTGACATCCTGCATTGGTCAATGATCAGGTTTCAAATCTGAGACCTTTGCTAGGGTCATGGACCTTTATATCTGATAAAGGTCACCCTTATTAGTATTCTTTATATAAAGAATACTAATAAGGAGTGTTTTATCAGATATAAAGGTCCATGCATGTGACCAAATAGGCTCATTCTATTGGCCTAGTAGCTCATTAATAATTATGTATGAGTTTTTGAAAAATTGACAAAAAATCACTTGAATCACTTATTTTCAGTCTAAATAATCCTATTTAGCACTTATTTCTCCTGATTTCTTTCTAAAGAGAGCAAAAAAAGACCCATAGTTACTGACTTCTTTTGCTTGACAACTGATTGCTAGACCGTAAAATATCCTAGATTCACGACTTTGGCAGTTGGATTTTTTGGTTCAGAGCTTGAGATGTTTATGGAAAATTTGAAAAATAAAACATTTAAATGACAGACGTATGACTCAATTTTGGTACAAACAGTAAAATTCGCTCACTGTAGGCTAGAATTAGCGTCAAAAGTGCCCCTTTTTCGCTTAGTTTTTGACTTCAAGTGTCGCTTAAATGGCTTTTCAATGTCAAATATGAGTAGCTCAGTCATCCATGCTATTGAATTGATTTTATACAAACTTCAAAGTTTGGATTGGAGGGGAGGGGGGGAGGGGTTGTTTGCTTTAAAAACTCAGATTTTAGAGCCTAACCCTATCCCCAACACCTAACCCTAGTAACCCTAACCCTAAATCAAGGAACCCTAGGGTTAGGGTTAGGTTATAGGAACTCTAACCCTTGCATAAGGCTGGAACTAATGCTAAGCTAAAGATTGGGGGAGGGGAGGGTACAGTCCGTTACTAAATGTCGATTTTCCCCCCACTTTTTTAAAGGAAATCACGAGAAATAACTAGCAAACATGATTATTTAGACCAGAAACAAATGATTGAATGTATTTTTTTCCATTTTGCGAAAGTTTAAAAAATACCCTAAATCGTCACTTACGCCGTTTTCGCATACAGGCCTTCAGTTTATAAATATGTCCAGTAATATCATGATTGTTTGAATTGTCGTTTGTCCTAAATAGGAATCCTTTTTTCATTTAGTTCTGTGCCCATTGCATGAACATGCAAATACATCAGATGTTATTCCAAACTCTCTAGTCCATGCAGACAAGTCTTCTTTTTACAAGATTTGGAAAAAAAGAGAAACCATACCATTCTTTCTTATTCTATTGATGTTACCTTTATGCAGTATAAAGTCACCAACGTTCTTCACAAAATTTAACTCTTTAGGTAAAATAGATTATTTTCTTCTTTTGTCACACATCTGATTAACTGACTCTAGCTTAATCTTCTGTGCTCTGCTCTGCTCTGTATTGCACTAGGCTTTTCTTTGCTCTGCTTTAACTCTATACTCTATGAAGCTACCTTCATGTTCATAATATAAATTGCCTAAGTACGCAATCTATAGCAGGTACATGTAAATGAGAGAGAACGATTATCTAGTAAGTAATTTATTGACATGGGAAAAGATACTTTAATTATTAAATAATATTTAGTTCGAAAATGTTATACAAAAGAAAGAGTAAGTTGACGAGAATTTCGTACTCTGAATATGTCGACTTGGGAGGTTTTGTTCCGTTGGATGAACTTATTATAACTTTAAAAAAAAACTTTAATCAGTTAATAATAAAATGTAAATCAATTTATTTACTGCAAATATTCTACCACATACAAGCAATCACTTTTATAGATGCGGCAAAGAATCGATGTTTGAATGGGATGACTTGAACCTCACATCACAGAAAACTGTACAAGAATATCTTACGTACTTGTTATTCTTTTTAACTTGATTCTTGAACTTCTAATAAATGTTCCTCTAAATACTGGGAAAATCGATGGTCATTTTTTATCGTAACTGAAACCAACGGTGATGCATCAAATGACAAACTCTCCTTAATTACCCGGTTCAAAAATATCATCTCAGTTCAAGAGCATATCACACTTATTTCAAACATTAATCAATTAATTTACAAACTCATTTAAGACTATACTTTTGTCCAGTTCTTTATTTTAAATCTCTCTCAATCCAGTACTGCTGGCATGGTGTGGTTTTAAAATATCCACACTTATAACAAAAGAGTACACACTGATCATTGCTTTTCCCATATTTTTGCCAGTATTTCTCATACAGCATCATTTTTTCCTTGTCAAAATATAAAGTCTCTCTGTTTTCCTTTTTTCTTATTCCTAAAAGTAATCTTTGTTTTTATCACTCTCCATACCGATTTCCCTGATGTGCAAACACATCATAGTACTGAGTTATGACCAAATTGGCGGGAATCTCTCAGTCTGTGCTTGGACACACTTGTACATTAACAATCAGAAGGCATTTACATGGTAAGAGTCCAAGGCATACATTGAAAAGCTTTCTGATTGTCGATGTACAATTGGTCCTGTTTGCATCAAGTTGCTTTCATTGTTATAATTTTGTATAACCTTGTTAACCATAAATTATTATCATACTTTTATTTTGCTGACTTGTCTAAAAAATTCAGTCCTGTTTCATTTTGGTATATAACCATTTTGATTTAGTGTTTCATTGTTTAGTACTGCCCTACCCATGACATGTTGTAGGCAAGTCACATGCTACTACAGTAATTGTAGGCCAAAAATCATGGTGTAAATTGGCCTTAATCATGTTTTTTTCCCTAATTTTCTTTCCAGGCACTATAGCTGTTATCTATATTGTCATATTTGTCAGTGTAAAAGCATCAATTTGGGGAATCAATATGGACTTCTCTAGTGCTACCCGAATACCAGGTACATGACTTGTCCAATTACACAACTGGCCTATTGCTTTATTATAATATGGATGGATATTATATACAGGACTCTGATGTATATAAATGTAGAAGGCTTGAACTAATTAATCAAGAATGAAGTTTTTCTATGAACAAGAAATGCTTTACACACATCAGAGTCTTGTATATCATACATTTAATATAATTATAAAAATTAGGTAATACCTAATAGCGGAGCCTGGGGGGGAACTCCTTAATATAGAAGGGCGGGGTCCTCATTGTCCCTTTTAGGGTTTGAAATCAGTGTTTTGGTCCCGTTTAGGGTTATAATGACAAGAATTCCCACCAACAAAATTTTGTGGTCACTAGAAGGGTATACAACAACCCTAAGCCGTCATCATATATTCGTATATAACAACGTAGTTATTATAGACGACTGGGACAAAAAAAACGGGTAAAAAATTAACTTAAGTTGATCAAATCTTAATAATATTTTACTACATGATTAACAAGGGATTCAAATTCATTTCAAAAACTCATTAATTATTCATGAGGTACTCAGCCAATCCCTGATTATAATTTGTACCACGTGAAGTAACTTGAAACCAGAGGAAGTAATCGTGCCTTGTATTCTACCTTATTTCCAGTCACTGATGCAATCACTGATGCAAAATGTACATTTTTTAAACATTTATTGCGTCCGTTGTAAATAATCAATTCAAAATCAGTGAGATGTGAAAACTCTTGAGGGGTTTTGGCTTTATTTACAAGGAATTTAAAACAAATTCTAGAACTCGATTTCAAGTTAGAGTCTGTTGGTCTTAAAAGAGCTAGCATGCACTAAAAACATACCTTTTGCTTCATATCTTTAATTCCCTAACGAATTGGTATACAGTGCCGAAACTCCGCATGAATGTAGCAATATGATAGGTAAGTTCTTTTTCAGAAATCGGTCAATATATATTTGATACAAAAGTAAAATGTAATTTTTTTATTTGGTACACACTCTTTTTCTTTGAAAATTCTTGCTCCAAGTTAAGGCCCACATGATGTTATCTTTCCTCGATGAATTTCCACCAAACTTTAGTATCGTTAGCCACTACCATATTATGTCCCTGAGATATCGTGAAAAAAATAGGCTTAATTCGTTTGAAATAGCTATATGATAAAACGCATATTAAATTAAATCCGAWTGAATTTGAATCCCTTGTTAATCATTTAGTAAAATATTATTACGATTTGACTAACTTAAATTACTTTTTTTATCAATTTCTTTCTTCCTGGTAGGATGTTCTCAACAACTGTATCCAGATACCTTAATTTAACAATATTTGTTGTGCAATCTCAACCACTTTTTCCTGATCCTGAGGTTGTCGCTTATGAGGGAGTTGACTGTATTTTTGTTCTAACAGTACATACTTACTAATCCATAGAATTCAAGATTCAGTTTCCTGCTTTGACTGGTACTTTAACTTTGGCATATTTCATTCACAATTGTGTGTTGTCTATTATGCGTAATCAAAAAAACCCCAAAAATAATGTAAGTGACTTCATTTGAAATACTTGAATGTCTTTTCATACTTAATTTCATACTTAATTGAATGGTTCGAACTGCAGTGAATGAATGTGTAATGCAGTGTAAATAATAATCTTAGCGATTATTAATAAATGTATGGATCGCTTGAAAAGATTCAGGCTTCAATGGGAATCAAACCCATGACCTCTGAGATGCCAGTGCAATCCTCTACCAACTGAGCTATGAAGCCAACTATATTGGCGAACGGTCATTTTATTGAGCAAACCCATTCATACTAAGGAACACATGTGATGAAGTAATGGTTTGAACCGTGCGGCGAATAAATGTGTAATGAATATGATCGACACATCCGATACTATAGGAACACATAAGACCTAAACTTTTTCAGGCAATCCATGCATTTATTGTTATTAATTTATATTAATTACTTAGATTATTGTTTACACTACGACGATTATATTCATTACACAAATTATTATACTTTAACATTTATTAGGTATTCATTAAAATATAAAATCATGGTATATCACATCATTTTTTCTTAGTCACGTGATCTCAGCATAGCTTATCTACTGGTGGCATTTACTTATATCTTTGTTGGTTCAATGTTTTACGCTGCTTTCCCAATTGAAAAATCATGTATAAGTCAGGTAAGATCTGACTAAAAATACAATATTCTAAATACTAGGCAGTTATAATTAGAACACAATGACAGGCCTGCCTGTAGGTGAGCTGCTATGGTCATTTCCACTAATGATGTCATGTTTGTTCAGGCAGAGTGCATCATGGTCTCAATAATATTATTATCGAATTACGGTCATCTCGCCCCATTGTCATGTCCCCCCCACCATGTCGCCCCCACTATACCGTCTCGCGCCCCACCATCTTGCTCCCACTATGGCATCTCGCCCCACAATCTCGCCCAATATTATATATTCGTTAGTTGACATTTCAGATGTTATTTATGTGATTCTAGCGCGATGTATTTGATTTATTACATATCAGGAACAAGTCTTGAATTCACTTGCTTGTCAAATGAAGAATCTCATAGACCATTTGAAAAAGGGTGTGGCTATCGTAATACCTTAGTTTATAAGATGTTTAATATATAACTAGACCCTGTAGGCAGGGTTTACACGTGCCCTTTTTTTTGTACGGGATATTGTAATATTCAATAGTATTGAGGCCAATTCATCATGTAATTTTATGAGTTGTTTTTGCGAGTTACATCTTAACCAGGTTTCGTACAGANTTTAAAAACATGGACCGTTTAAGTGCTCATTCCCAGTCTTCTGCTCATTTTTTCGTATGGTCAATGTAATTGTACAGAGAAGTAGTAAGATCATCCAGTTTCCTCTCCCATCATGAAGAGTGAGAAAGACTAGGAAACTTGCTCTGTTTGTTATTACTATGGACAACATTTTTTGCAAAAGTTAACTGTTGTTCAAATGCTATGAAGAATCATATAGCCTGCATATATAGCCATGCTTCCTAGCTGCTGCGAGAGAGTTTGGGCTGGAGAAAGGGAACGCCTGCAGCAGCGTTACCGTAATAAATCTGAGGAACCCAGAAGGGAACGCCAGCAGCAGCGTTACCGTAATAAATCTGAGAAACCCAGAAGGGAACGCCTGCAGCAGCGTTACCGTAATAAATCTACCCGTTCTGGGTTTCTCTGGCACAAACTCTCTCAGAGCAGCTAGGATTGAAACATATAAATAAGAAATACACTTTTTAGAACATGCTTTTATGTTGAAACATAGTACATGCTTGTTGTTCTCAAAACAGCCTGAAACACAATAAAAGCAAGGCAACATGCATGAGTTCATACTTTTGTTTATCATACAGTGCATCTTGTTGCCATCACTAGAGGAAAGAAGCAATAGACTTGTCATGATCATTGTTTTTTTATTAGATATCAAGAAGCACAAAGTATATATAGACATAAACTTAATTCCTGGATCAGAGTCACCCCACTCATTAGTAATGATGCTCTTTTTATGCAGATAAGAATAAATGTTTTTTTTTTTCATTTTTGGACATAGGTTTTCCTGGATAATATGCCAGCAAGTGATGGCATGGCATTTGGTGCTCGTATTGGTCTGTTCTTTCAGTTAGTCACAGTGTTTCCTCTCATTGTTTATATAGTCAGAGTACAATTTATGCTTTATGTCTTCGGGAAATCATATCCTGGGTGAGACTACGAATAAAATTGTACACTTTCAATATTTTGGTTGACTATCCACATGGAAAACTCTTTGCTGGAAAATATACTAGTATTTATTCACCAGAGTATATAATTATATTGTCTTCAATTTGTGCATATTCAACCAGACTATTGTAATTTAGCTTGTTTTTTTTTCACTTGTTCTTATATTTTAAGTTTTTATTCTGTCTGTTTTTGTTTGTATGTATTTCTTTTTTTGGTATTAGTTTGTTTTTAGTTGTTCCTGCATTTTCATTTCTGTTTTCAATGTGTGTTTATTTTTTTCATCTCATTCTGATTTCTTTTCGGTTATACTATGTTTTGCCATTTTCTTTTTAAAATAGTACTAAGTTGTTTTTTGATAGTTTTGCTTGGTTTTGTTTTACGGAGTGTCTAAACACTAGGCAGCCTGATGTTTAGTACCAGAACTAAACATCAGGCAATCAATTTTATTTTTTGAAAAATCATCTTAACAGTTATTTAATTAGTACAACAAGAGAAATGCAAAAATGACTGAAATAAGGGACTTGTCAGAAATTAGCAGGGTGGAGGGGAGGTGGAAATTGAAAAGTGGGTACTAGTGGAAGGGAAATTTTCGACCCTCCCTACTTCAGACAGGCAAAATATCATGATCCTTCTCCTTAACCCATTACCACAACAATTTATTATTTCCCCCAAGCAGCCAGTGGATGATGGTGCAGGGCCTATAATTGTGCCATTGTTTCTTCATTTGATAGGCAGTTGATTAGGACATTTGATACATCTATTCTAAAAGTCAATTGCCTGACATTTAGTTCTGGACTAAAGCCTGACGTTTAGACACTCCGTTCATTTTATTTCTGATCCATAAAGTTACATTCAATTTAATGAAAATTGAAACTCTATTTTGATACTATTGCAGACCACTGCACGTTTTTGTTTTGAATGCTGTTATTATTGCTTGCTGTGTTACGTGTGCTTGTCTTTATCCCCATGTTGGCACAATTATAAGGTAATTCCTTAGTATACGTTAAAAGAATGACACCTCAGGTGCAGATCAAGCTTGGGATATAGCTGGGGTTAGTACAGACTTTCCTCACATCCTCAAGGGCCCAAGCCAGCTGCACCTTACAACTTTTCATTACAATTTAAATCATTTTCAAAGTGCACTTATGTTCTTGATATCAGTTAGCCTCCTCCAGGAGTTGCACTTCATTTGCCCTTTTGGGATTCCCCTGGTATCCACTTGGCTGAGACAAGAATTATTATCATCATGATTATTTTTGCATGTCACAGTCTCCATCAGTTATAATATTGGGGCAGGGAGCCGGCATGAGTAGAGTGAAGTCCAGAAAAGCAGAAGGATACCTGCAAAGGAGGCTAGATATCACCATATTGTGCATTCCCAGCACAGTATGTGCAGAAGAATTGAGCTAGAAATTATAGAGATCCCTCAATCTCCCTAGAGTCTTTACACCTTTCTGTTTATAGTCAGCTGTTGTTGCATTTCACCCATTGGATGGCAAAATTGCAGGCTCTGAGTACCATTTCACTATGAACTCTAACCCTATAATGTGTGTATTAGTGCCATGATCCTGATCCTATGGGTTCTCACGTCCTACATGAAGCACGAGTAACTGAATATCTCTTGTCCTTGTTTCCAGGCCCTTTTCTTTTTCGAAGAGAAAAGGGGCTGGGATTGGGGGTGATATATAATATATCATTTTAGAGACATAGCATTCTTGTATGCAGATCCTTTTCATCTTCCAACTGAAAGTCAAAGGCTCTGGGACACTGTTATACCAAGCCACATGATTGGCTAATTCAAATAACAAACAGACAAGCTTGTAGTCGCTGTCAAAAATTTATAATTTTTAATATTTCAGTACATTTTTTCGTGCACAATCTTGCCAAGCTGTCCTCTTAACCTAGGTGAATTAAAAAACCAGTGTCATTATTCTTTCCAACATCAAAATTTGATACAAAAAATGACTTGGATCAAGGTAAAAATAGGTTTCTTGTTGAAGCACCGGTTTATAGGTTGTCCCATAGCCAGCTACGACAGGCTTCTAGAGGCTGCGAGAGTAGGGTCTGGATACAAGAATGGAGACATTGAGGATATTACATGGGCACATGGAGATACAGATCTTCAAGTGTTGAAAAGATCTCTCAAGAGTGAGCGTAACTTAGTGAAAATAACAACTTTTCGAAAGAGAGAAATATAGGTATATCATAGATAATTATATGATAAATTCTCTTTTATAACCACTATACACCCTTTTAATAAGTCCCGAGGTATTGCGTTCTCCGCACTTGATGTCAAATTTATTTTTTTGAATTCCTTTTGTATTGTAAAAATTTCAAAAGAATAAACTTGAYGTCAAATGTGGAGAACTCAATGCCTTGGGACTTATTAAAAGGGTGTATATATCTGTTGTAGGTTTGTTGGATCTCTCAGTGGACTGGCTTACATATTCACATTACCATGTTTGGTATATTTATATAACAGGCATAAGGAACAGGGAAGTCTCTCATGGCTAAGCATTGTAATACATTCATTCATCATGCTACTGGGTGTACTGAATTTAATATCACAATTTCTTATATCATGATTCTGTAGACATTGGTATAGATTATTTTATTATCTTATTATTTTATTGGGATGGGATTTTCTGAAGGTTTTACCCAGGAATAATTATAATATTACAGATTATATAAATTTGTAAATGTGGCCTAAAATGTTCATTTTTGTAATTATAAGTTTTTTAACTCAATAAAGACTTAACAAACAGTGTATAGACAACTTTATATATCACATGACTGTAGCAAAATGAGATACGTTACTTCTCATATTTTGGTTCAATGCAATCCCTGAGAAACAAACTATAGCATTCAGTCAATTGCATACACCTAATTGACATAACGTTGTCGGGTCCCAAAAGATGATTTCGTTAAAGCTAACATCAAAGAGGATTTTCAGAACCCAGAAATCTAACTAACATTGCCGAATTAAACACGTTATATTATTATCATTACTCATAGAGAAGATCACTTTATTCACTGAAGGCAATCTTCTGTCACTAAAACACTGTTATATTCATAATATTTGTTTTCCCATGATCCCTTTCAGTCTTAGCTTTGCTAGTGTAACCTTTTCGAATCCGACTACGTTTTTTCAATTAGGTATATTTACATTATTATACTTGAAACATGGAAAGTGACGTCATTATCATGTCACTGGTCTGCTGTAGCCTTAGCATTTAAGAGAACTGATCCCTTGGTTCTCATTCATTCACAAGCTTTAATGACAACGTTGATAATTATACATGATGACATTAAAAGATATATTATGCATAACAATATGACATGCATGAAGACAGTACGTAACGCTGTTGTAAGTTGACACGTTAATTGAATTTGTGAGTAGGTGGTTACACGATTTAGTGGCTCGTTCTAACAGGCTCTCCTTTTTCCGCTTATTCCCTTCCGTTTTCCCCCATTCCCCCATCCCCTAGAGCCACTACACAGGCTTAGCAATGCTGTCGACGATATCCACTATGATGATAATCAAAAGAAACATTGTACTTTGGTGCAAAAGGAATACCGGTATATCAAAAAAGATAATGAAAAAGTTTGCAACTACTTTCTTGGACTAAAGAAACCAAAGATAACTAGACGCTCTTGGAGCATGAAGTCGGACTAGCTGTAGCCTGCGTGGCGGCTCTAGGGGAGGGGGGAGGTGGAAAACGTTTCCCCCCTCCCCCCTCCCCTAGAGCCGCCACGCAGGCTAGACTAGCTGTTTTGAAAATTGAGAAAGACAGTAAAAATATATATTTCTTAATTTTTTTCCAAAATAGCCGAACTCACAGTCCTGAAAGGTCATGTAATTAACACCAATATGAACGTTTTAAAAGAGTTCTAGCTTGACTGATAAAATCAAACTTAGATATATAAGCTTAATACGTTGACCTCCTAGGCCAAGAAAATAAATACTTTACAAAGTAAAAGATACTATAAAATCATTAAAGTTCCCTTTTTGTCATTGATAAACAAAGTTTCTTCTTGTTCTAATTTCAAATATTGCCCACACAAGACTGTCTAGCGCTAGAAAGGTTATTGATTCAGTTTTGTAAGCACACTACCCGGTCATGTAATAACACAGCCAACCCAATAGTTTAATTATTTAACTTCCGGTGTAGATTGTAAACTCAAGTCGACCATGTTCATCAATTATTGTGGGGCTCCTGTGTGTTTACATCAGAACGAGGCAATAGTTCTCAGGTTTTCACGGTTGATTGATGTTTCACTGATGTTTCAGCCAATCAGAGCGAAGGTTCAGCGTCTACGGAGATCAACGGCTAGAATTTTGTGCATGTTTTGGTGGCGATGGAAATATATTATGCTCATTAATTTGTGATTGTTTTCTCTTTAGTTGGACAACCTTTACTTCTATGGTACATTTTACACCTTAGTATATAGGTAAGAAGAGTTTGAAATGATTAAAACTTACCCATTTTTATTGGAAAAGAGCGCGAAATTCAATGAGCTAAATAAACTAACGAAGTTTTGCAACTTAGAGCAAACTTTGTCTTACAACTAGTATTAAACAGAAAATTTGTGTTTAAGATTTAACTTAAATAAATTATGGAAGTGAATATAAGGTGATTGCAAATATACCAAAATGAATTAGTAAAAGCTTTTTTTGTCTCTTGTTGACGTCGTTGATCTCGCGCTCTCTGACAAGGAATATTAAGCTTAACTTAACTTACCAATTAATTAAAGAAGGCTTGAACTTTTAGCTACTTGTAAAAATGAGAACGATGATATTCTTGAAATGGTAAGGACAGCATGATGAGGATAGGTCTATCCTCACTGTTGTACCACAATAAAAGTTTAACTTATGTTTAATTGTTTAAAAATTTTTTTAATTAATTAAGCTTAAGCGTTAGCAAGAGATGAAACACTACATAATTATGTGTTTGTGTTTCTAGGTTTGTGTACGTTCTCACCTTTTACTGTGTTTATACCAGAAGACAGAAATATATGGGGGCATTTTATATTCAAAGCAGCTTAATGCACCTATCAATGTCTTTTATTGACACAGAAATCCCCCAGGGCAGGGCTTATTGACAATTTGATCAGAGACATATTAGAATGTTATTTTATTCAGTAATCACAACTGGAGAAAAGATTGTTAAACATGTGGKTTTTTTTTAATTGTGTATTGTCTTTCAGTTATTTTGCTTAGAAATATATAGCTCTCTCCTGGCCTGGGTTGTTGAGAGGTTTTGTAAGAGTTGAACAAGGATTAGCACTTATCGAGCTTCGACCAACATGCCCCTGGTGTCTTTACATTAAATCATGTATCATATGAGGGGCCTATTGTCATTTTGATGTATTTTTTAAGAGGGGCTCATTGACATTTGTTTTTCAAAAATGTCAGTAGCCCCTGGGTATGCCCGGGCTCCCCCCATTGGGGCAAGACATTGATAGGTTCATAAAATCTTCAATGACTTAAGGTATCAGCATACCCACGCGACCCCTACTCGCGTCATCAACTATAACGTTCTTGTTGTTTTGCAAATGCTCACAAACTATATATTTTCTGAAAGCTTAGTAATTGTAGTTTATGCCTATAAGTGTTTGAAATGCATTTAAAATTACGTTTTAGAGTTATTAGCTCCATTATCTGAAACTACATGCCAGAATAAAACGAACTCCAAGTCTGAAGGAATTATCGGAAAAAACTTAATTTAAGCGCTGTTCTTTTGTTCACATATTTGTCTCAAAAACTGTGTCTGCGATTTTTTATACGCGCTCTCGTTTTGATTTAATGTTGTAATAAAGTTTAGGAACGCAAAATTATGTCAAGTTCTTTAAAGAACCTTGAATAACTTTTGAAAAAAGACGACTTATCAAAATCCCAGACACAATTTTGTTGCTTAACTATCTGTAAACAATGCTACGAAATTTGAATAAAATTGGTTTACGGGTATCTGACTTGGAGTTTAAAACGTATGCCCTACTTGCCGTAAATTTTGTTTCGAGAAACGAGTCAAAAACAGTTTTTAGCCCGTAATGGGATTATACCGGGTAATACCAGATAATAAGACCATACCAGAAACTACGTCATGTTAGCATAAAACATGCGATGACAGCTATGAAACCGATTTCATTAGTACGGTCAGTTAATTTTCAAAAACATCAAATTGTAACTCGTAAGATTTTACTAAATATACAGTTTTTTGTAGCAAATTTGGGTTAGGCCGAAGATAATATTCGATAATGTCCAGGAATGCCAAAGGCCAAGAAGATTAGCGATAGCAAAGCGAAGCAAGGATATGCTAATTGTAAATATAATGTATAGTTTATTCCTATTTTCGCAAATTTTGACCGTTTCAAATCAAAACGTGTAATATCATAATAAACTATTACTAACAAGAGAAAGAAATGATTGAGTGATCCAGAGAAAAGAGAGAGAAAAAGAAGCAGAATATGATTAATCGAGAATCAACAACATGAGGGTGATCAACTCTGGATCCCGGGATGGACTTTAATACTTAATCCATATAAAAACTACCGATGAGCATATTTATCGAATATATTGCTTATTGGAGTCCTTCAAATAGACATATTCTTTTGTATCTTACGGCATGCTTCAATCGACTCTCACTCTAAACGGTCGTATATAAACTCGTTTGATGTGACCTGTCATCAACGCCATTAATCCAATTAATACTAAAAAATCTTTTGAGCGCAATAACTTTTGTTGTAAACTTCGTATCTTTTCAAAACTTTACTATATATCTAGATCTACAAACGATCTTTCCAATGATATAAAAATCAAAAAATTATTAAAATGTGAAGGTTTTGGGTACGCTGATACCTTAATGATAATTTTCAATTCTCTGGAATAAATCCCAAGATTAGGGTTATGTTTAGGGCATTAGAGTCAGGGTTAGGTTTGTGTTTTTCTATTCTATAAAATAATTTAAATTGAAAACTGCATCAAGTCACTATTAGATTATGGTTATTTATTAATTAACAGTCTTGACACTTGTGTTGTCACTGAATGTAATATTTGCAGTTTTGTTAAATCATTGACATTGAAAAAAATGAAAATTGATATTTCATTACAGAATCAAGTTGATTTAAGTGCAGAATGACAGTTGATGATGACAAGCCAGTACATCTGCATGTTAATAGGAACACCCCAGTCCATGTACACCTTAAGAAGAAAAAGAACAAAAATAAAGGGGCTCCAACTGCTGTAGAGGTTGGTTGTTATGCACCTGTTAGGCAGCTGTTTTTGCATTCTATATACATGTAGATAAGAACTGTAGACAATATTTATGACTTTAGAACACACAAAAAGGGAAAACACAAAGAAACGTGTGCACAAGTCAGCTGAGTTACAAACATCTGAGACTTGAAATTTGCGGACAAATTATTATTTGCATGCTACACATCAATAAAAGTAGTAGTTTTCAATAGTGTAACAGTTTGCTTCTTTATTTCTATATGTAATATAATGCATTGTACAGCCTTTTGCAAAAATTATGAGAATTGTCTAAATATCTAAATATCATAATATCCATATCCATATATTGTCCCGAACACGCGGGTTTGCTAGAATAATTCATTGTTGACATCGAGAAAATGTTCAGAACTACGGATAAGTCTGTCAGCAAAAAAAAACTAAACTACAAAGACAAGGGACTAAGGGCATCGCGCGAGATTACCCRYCRTRCACTCGATATTATGATATTTAGATATTTCAACAATTCTCATAATTTATGCAAAAGGCTGTACATGACTGAATAATCATATATCTTTTTCAGGATCGTATACGAATAAGAGATAAAAGAATGACAGGAATTCTTAGCAAAGTTCCTTTGGTATTAACTTGATTTTTTTTTTTTTTTTTTTTTTTGTCATCTGTTCAATAGTTTTATATCACAGACGGTGATGGACATAAATGTATATTTTATTATTTACAACCTTAGAGCTATATGAACATTCATTTTAAATGACATTTCATTTTACTAGGGAAGGTCCAGAAAAGGAAATAAATCAGTATCACCGCCGTTTATTCCTGCACCAGCAAGAACAACAAAAGGATCACTTAGGTGGGAGGTATGTTCTATAAAAGTACACAATAAGCATTATTCTGTGAACAACATACATGTAGTGTTCTTATAAGCATATTGAGGAACTACATGTATGCATGAACCATGACATATTGCTGTTACTGGGTTTTTTTTTTTTGAAGAACAAAACTCATTCACTGGAGGTCAGTCCACCAAGCAGAAATAGCAATTTAAAAATAGATGAGCTTTCATCATCTGAGGTACTATCATGAAAATAACAATTATGACATACATGTAACTAATCAACAATGACATGATTTGATGTATTTTCCCACAGGAAGACATGGTGAATGGAAGAATGAGAAATTATGAAAACAAAATCACAAGTTTGATGTCTGAAGTTGGAACACTTAAAAATGAAGTTAGTAATAGTAGTAATGAATCAATATAATATTAAAATTATTATAATAATATGAAGTGACAATTGCTTATGTTATATTCATTAACAGTGTGTATTTTCTGAAGAACTGCAGCAATAGAATTAATGATGGGCTGCAGTGATTATGATAACAATTAATATAGAACACAACCTTGATATTGGGGGATTCTCTCACTACAACATATACACCACAACATTCTACTAATAATCCCTTAGTAATTGCTTTGAATTGTAATATGGTAAGGTGTATGCTTTCTGGCAAACTAAGCTGTTTTTATTGTTTAATCAGACTGTAGGATATTCATTATTATAAGTTTACTAATATTTGTACATGGCTGCATTGACATTCCTCTTTGACCATGTGTGGTAATCAGTTTTGTATACTTAATTGACTGAATTTCTGTTAATTTTAAACATCCACAGGTTGATTTACAACGATCACTACGAGCTGTTGAAAAGAAAGATGAACAAATTGCAGCCTCAAGAAAAATATTGGAGGACCAACAGCGTGAGCTCAGTGTATGTAGTACTAAGTCTAATGAGTTATACTCTGTCTCTACCATGTAAATTTACAAATAAGTCACCCACCCTTGTGGACATATCACAAGATTTTCTAATTTTTTTTGTAACTGTTTTAAAAACAGGATTTTAGGAAAGAGTTGAAATCAACTGTCAAAGAAAATGAAATTCTCAGACATTCCTTATCAAAAGCCAAAGAAGATGCTGATGTTTCAAGGTAATCAGTCATCACAAGTCAGAACTTGCTTCAATAAAAGTGTTTTTTTTTTCTGAATTGAATTGTTTCTTTTGTTTCTTGGCTGTAAAGAAGTGAACTTCATCTAGCAGAAGATGACAAGAGTACTCTTCTCAAAAAACTTGTTGAAGCAGAAATGGATGGAAAAGCTGCTGGTGAACAAGTTGTGAAACTAAGGGAGGCTGTAAGAAAGCTTAAACAGGTGCTCAATTTGAAAATCAATAATTGAATTGTAAAGTTGGAGATAGACAAGAATAGGCGATTTTGCGAAACGCAGATAAAACCGTGCACAGGGACCGCGGAGCGGTAATTTGTTTGGGGGGGCTATCGGCTGCAAAGGCAGGAGGTACTAGGTGGAATCCCCCCAGCCCCCCTGCTCCACGGTCCCTGGTGCAGCAAGTGTCAAAAAGCGATAGTTGGGTAAAGGGAATTCAAGGCAGCTTTGTTGTTTTGATGGTTCAGACATATAAACAATGCAATCAAAAGAACAAATAAAAGCAAAATATTTCTTTTTGTTGTGCTTGTGTTTGCCTTTTTTCTTGCATGATCTATTTAATATGCCTGGATATTCTAGATCTGTGAACATATAGCAGCTATACAATATGTAGAGCAATTCATACATCATGGTACTTGCATAGCACTACTGAATCACTGTACATACTTGTATTACTTTGGCATACTGCACAATACTGTACTGGAGAGTACAATATTACTGTATATTGAATACCAGTTTGTGATGGTCCTTGAAGGATGTTTAGATAAAGGATATTAATTACAAAATTTTTTTCTCACTCTAATTTTTGTTATTAGACTGATATTGAGCTCAATAGAAACAAAAAAAAAACACAATAACAAGTCATAACTACAATATAATGACAAGTATTTAAGATATTTTCATTTCAAAATTATTGTTCTCCAAACAGTCTTTATAATGGTTTGTGATTTTTTTAGGACAAAAAGTTATCAGCAGCAGATTCAGCATTGCTGACAAGACAACGTGAAGCAATGTTACAAAAGCTGGAAGAATTTGAAAGAACAAACAAGTCGCTGAGAAGAATGCTTCGCGATGCACAACAAAAAGAGGTAGGAAAATGGCTTGCTTCTTTCCTAAGCTGTATAACCTAAAAAAGTATAAATTATATGAAACAAACGTATTAGATACACTCACACTCTTACTAATTTGGTTCTTAATGTCTTCTGACGGTGCAATGATGGTGTCTCAGTAAATAATGGATATAAACTACCTTCATTTTTAGTATGTGTGTAACTGACACAGATATTTTTAAATAAAATACCTGCACAGTAAAAACATTCATTTTTATTTTATTTTTTTTTTTCAGGAGGAAGAATTACAACTGCGACAACAACAAGAACTCCTGTTAAGAAAGCTCACTGATTCTGAAGACAGAAACGAGGTTAGCTCTAGAATACTTGGAATTGGTGTTAAAATGCTTTATTGAATAAGCATTGAACACATTGAATTGAAGTGTGGAATATAACCAAGAGGGTATAAGGAGTGTATAATAATTTAAAAATCCAATTATGCACACCTAATTTTTCTATGATCAAATTTAGTTAGAGAATAGGTTTAGCTGTCAGCTATAGATTTTCTAACTTTCATATTATTCACATGAGTGTTTTAAGATAAAACATGCTTTAAGATAAAAGATTTAAATACTGTATGATTCATTATTTTTAAAAAAAAGGTTGTCAGATGAATTGGCAATTGTTGATGTGAAGAATGACTACACTGAGAGAAGCCATGTTTTTTGTTAATTGACATGGGAATTAAAAATATGATATTATTATATATTATTTTAACTAATTTATACTGTAATTGTGTGGTAAACATTGCCTCCATTTAGTCACCATTATCAAGTTGAACCCAAGAAGTGAAATTTTTTGTTTGTCAAACATTGTACCATAATCCCCWTTGGTCATGCAATCTCCCTTCAGGGATCCCTGCCATTCTTAGTCTCCTTCGATTTTTGTTTCCGGTGTCAAAACGCAAAGCGTAATCTCCTGCCATTCTCTACAAAATTGACTCGCTTCCCTAAATTCAAGTGCAAGCGGGCATACCTTGAAATATAATTGGTTATTTATTCAATTGTTTTCTATCCTTGGAATGAGGCTATTTACTCCAGACCTGTACTTGAATTTTAACTCAAATAGTCAATAGGGTGGTGTATAAATGAACAAAACTATTCGTATTTTTTCCCAGAAATTCCAACTAGAGATTATGGAACGTGACCGGCAAATTGAGACTCTCTTGACACAAGTAGAAGCAGATAAGGTATACATGTACAGTCCTTTTTTGTAGCTTATATCCTGATTCATCTGGATCTACATGACAGTATTTATTGAAATCAACTCTAGATTGTGATTCAACCTTCTGTCCATTGAAATTTGACCTTGAAATGCTCTTAGCAGACTAGTTTTCTCAATAAGTGCAATTTTGTTGTGCCTTTCTTGTATGTTCTGTTCTGCTGGGTTGTCACAAACCATTTGAAGTAAATCTCATGATTGGTTCAGAAACAATGGACATCAAACAATAGATACTCTTCCAAGCAATAGAGGTTTTGTACTAATAAATGGAGCAATCCAAAAACAGGTTTTGAAGTGTTTGTGGTAACTGACTGCTGTCTCAAACAAGGTGTGGGTTTGGTGGGTTTGGGGAGGGTAGACACACAAAGGTTCAAGTTTAAATATTTCCTTGTTACTATAAAATACTATAATTAACCAAGAACAAAATGCATCATGGATCACCATTTAATCAGTAGTATAGCAGTTGTAAATGGTGATGATGGCATATAAGGGTTTGCGCTGCAAAGAAGGTTCTGTCTGGAAAAGTACCATGCTTTTTTCCTCGGGCATTTCAGTCTTGGCATGGAACATTCCATAAAACCGTGTTTTCACAACTTTTTTTATACATAAAATAAAAACAAAGTACTTTGTATAGGATCAAGCTATGGCTTTTGAAGACTTGAAGAAAACTATGGAAACTACAAGAGCTCATCTACAAAACCAGTACCGATCCAAAGAAATGGAGAACAATCGACTTCAAGTGCAAATTAGGGTAACATTCATTCTTTAATCAAACAACAGTTACTGTATAGATAGAAATAACAATTATAAATGAGTGTGAACGATCAAATATAACTGAAATTATGACTTGAACATAAATAATTCCATAGCAAGTGAAAGGTATGGACAAAGGATAAAACTCAGCAATGAGTAGAGAAATAATGGACAATGCATAAATAGGCAAATGAAGATTGAAATATTTACATCATTTGAATATATTTTTACAGAGCCTTGAAGAACAGCTAGAACAGAGCCGTGTAGAGGTTGAACACCTAGAGGGTCTTTTTACAGCATCACGTGTAAGTTCTTGTATTATTCATATTCAAGAGTGTTATCTGTGATTCAACAGCATTTTCTCCTGTGTAATATTATTTGGGAACTTTGTGTGCATGGATTACTAACATCTTTCATATATTTCTTGTTGCAAAGGATTTTCCCTACTAGTTACAAACATAGCTTTTTCTTCCTTAGGATGTATCAAGTGACATGATAAATTTATCCCTATTGATATTAAGTGATGCTGATTCATCATGGTTTATTTATTATCAAGATTAATATTTATATTAAAGTGAATTATGCATCTTTTCTGTTACAGGACAAAACAGGGAGAGAAAAAGAAGCCCTCAAAAAAGCTGCCAGGTTAGGTGCAGTGTTATTACCATAGAATGTTACACTAAATATTGCAGCCATTTTCAAGTGATCAATCAAACAGAGAAATTGTGTCCTTCCCCAAATCTCCTTTTTGTACTTGTTCTGAATTACTCAATATATCTTGATATTGAAAATGCATATTGAAATTGTCAAATCACAAGATATCTTATTTTAAATTGATTTCTAAAACTCATACAAGAATAAATATAAAGTCAGAATACTAATAAGGGTGACCTTTATCAGTTATAAACAAGGTCCATGACCCCAGCAAAGGTCTCAGGTTTGATACCTGATCATTGATAATGCAGGATGTCAACCGAATGCAGTAAAACAGCCACCAGCGCTTCTATTTTACTTTATTCATATTCAATGTGCGATGAGTGTGCGATGAGTGCTTTGGGAAGTGATTCGCGCATGATCAGTTTGCCCCATTTATCTCAAAACTCATTTTTACGGCAATTCCTCCAAAAATTTAACAGATTTGAGTTTCAAGTTAGTGTTGGAGCTTTTAAAGCCGTTTATAAAACTTATTAATAATGCATAAGCTATTGCTCCAATAAGGGCTGACCATTTAATCAGGTGATTGACCTTGTAAATCTGATACAACCACTAGTGGTTGTATCAGATTTACAACACGGTCGTCACCATTGAGACAACCCAACACTAGCAAAGGTCTCAGTTTTAGTGTCGCATCATAGACCTTCNCGGCTCGAGATTGTAATTCCCATACAACACGGCCGCTCATGTTGTAAACTATACTTAAAACACTCTATCTGGTGTTTTAAACTATACATGATAAGCTTTTGAAGCCGTTTAAAACACTCTATCTGGTGTTTTAAACTATACATGATACATGATAAACTTTCAAATTGACCATATTTGAATAATATCTATATATCTACGACTTCGGTGCATGGTGACTTTTACTTGGTGTATGTTTATTGCGTTTTTCACTTTCAGGGTCCAAAAAGATCGAGTTTTAGACAGAGAAAAGGAATTGGAATCAATGAGACAAAAACTCAATGATAAAGTGAGCAACTTTAGGAATTTCATGAAACCCGTTGTGTTTAGGATAATTAAACCTCAACTTTGCTGTTGCTTTATGTCTTTACAAACGAAGAACGTTAATGGGATCGACTGTATAATATACCAAATTGAACATTGTTCGATAGGAAAATTTCGAGAATACTCTATTCCTTGAATCTGTAGAAGTCTACATGTTGCCTTTAAAGTAGGGGCATCAAACGATATTTCAAAAAAAACTTGCTTGACAATCGAATATTTATAATTAAAAAACTCCTAGCAATGAAGAATTTAGTAGACCATGTAGCACGAACTGGGGCTTATAAAAACAAATTGGTATGTGAAATAACTTACTGACGTTTCGGACGTTAATCCTTAATTTCATCGGAGTTTTTACTCCGACGAAGGATTACATGTAACGTCTGAAATGTCAGTAAGTTATTTCAACTACTTTTTTACGGTGTTAAAATGTATCTTTTTACATAACTAATAATAATTGCAGTGATTTGATCTAAAAAAGGTATACGCGTGGCATTTACTTTGAAGATTGTGTCTTTAGGAGTTAGATTTATTAGAAAATCGACGGAATGAAGCTGCAGCTCGCCAAGAAAAGGAAACATTAGAAGCTGATAATGCGACATTACGAAAGTGAGTGCTCATAAGTCCTATGCGAATACAGTAAAAACCCGTATATAAGAACACCTATTTTGGCAGTTCAGGCTGATTTAGTTATTATATATGAAGGGTTATAATCTGCAAAATCAGCTTGTAAGTGTTCTTAAGCGTTCTTAAAAACGTTTCTTTAAATAAGGAACATACTAGGCTGCCAGTTGATGAAATTAAAATATATGCACACAATTTTAATCAATTAATACGATGATTATTTTGTTTAATATTTTGTTACATATAATTGGGGTGGAACTATCATGTGCCGTGCAATGAAAAGTAGTGTTGATCTTTGATATTTTCCCATATAAGAAAAACTTTCATTTTTTATGCTGAATGTGTTCTTATATAAATGGTACTTTATTTCCTAAAATCAGGACTGGGTGTTCTTAATCCACATGTTCTTATACGCGGGTTTTTACTGTATTCATAGTTGGTTTCAAACTTTCGCAGACTGCTTTTTACTGGCTCCCCAGAAAAGGTACTCTCGCACTCCGCGCTCTTTTCACTTTTTTTAACTTTCCCTCGATTCTAGAAATTTTCTCTTACTAAATTTATTTTTCTCTTAGCCGAATAAAAGAGCTTCAAGAGATAATAGAGAATACAGAAAAGGCTTCACAGGTGAGTTCGTCATCATTCGACGTCTCATCATTCATGAATTGGAAGGCATTGTAGAAACAGCTTGATTTTCGGGTCTGGGTCTGACAGAACTTCACAATTCTGTGAGATACTCCATTTCTGTGATCGTTCAGTTGTTAGTCTTGCAACGTTCGGTTTTAAATAGAATAGTCATTTCTTTGTCTAGGTCTTTATAGTACGAACCAAGAAAATCAAATACAATAATGATAAGTTTGACTTTACAACCTGGGTTGTTCTTTATCCCCAATCAAAGGTCTACATACTTGTTATGCTTGTACTTTGTTCTTTCGGCAATTGTTCCCGGGGTGCATATCGTGCCTTCTACTAGGATCCATTCTTTGCTCTTCTTGTCTAGTATACTGATATCTGGCTTATTTGCACCGTCTCTAGGGCATTTTTCAAGCTGCCATGGTATGTCCCATAAAATCTTTGCTACCTTGTTTTCTCGACATGGCTGTGAATATGATTGTTTGTACCATGGTAAAGAATAATCAGATTCATCAAAGGAGAGCGTGATAGACAGGGCGGAGCATCTTGTCATGTCGAGACTTGTATAGAGTTGAGCTATGTGAACAGCCACAAAGTACGTGTGAAACGGTCTCCTGTTTCTCAGAACAGAGTCGACAAGACAGTTCTTGTAACTCTTCGTGTAGTTTCTATGATCTGTAGGTCTTGGTGTTTAGGAGTTGTTGTCTGATGCTTGTATCGATTGACATTACGATATCTGGAATGTTTTCCACTGTTTAAAGATGTCATATGAACTATATTTGATATTTCAGAATCATTCCAGTGTTGGGTCACAAATTTACCACCACAAGGTTGGTTATGTAGATCTTTCATACGTCTGTCAATGCTCGCTTTGTTTATGTTCTTTACTTTCTTTGGTTCCTTATCACTTATACGTATTTCTCTATCGCCGTATCCCCAAAGACTGTGTCGTTATCATTGAAGTCGCAGTCTATGTTTAGCTCTTCTGCGTACTTCTTGGCATCTTTAAATATTGATCTTAAATTACTTTGTTCTTTTTTCATCTGGAAGGACTTTACGAGCTTGATATGTTGATCTTCTGAATTATTAATGTAGTTGGCTACCTTCAACTTGGTGTTCTTGTACAACGTTTCTAGTTCGACTAATCCTTTCCCGCCTTGTTCTGGCTGGAAGTACAGGAGTGGTATGGATTCATACTTGTTGTGCTTTCCACGGCTATCATTGATGACTTTTCTTGTTAGTCTGTCGAACTCTTTGAGGTGGTTAAGAGGCCAGGTACGGCATAAACATTAATGGCACGAACTTTACGTGGTATTGACAGTGGAAAGGTCCAAACGGCCCAAAGTCGCTTTTCTTTCTCTTTTGAAGCTTCTTCAATAACTTTATCTTCCAGATGTTGGATGTTCTGGTGTTTTCCTAAGAATTAGTAATGATCTCCAATGCAGTTGTTACTTACAGGCATTTCAGTTCTGTTGCCACTAGTTTCTAGTTTTCCTCGTTTCACATGTATTGCAGCGCATTTGTTAATTCCCCATTTTAAACCAATGTCTGCAAACATCTTGAAGAAGAAGAACATCGTTTATTAAATAAAAACACTTTGCAGTCTTACGACTGAATTGCGTGTTAAAATTTACAATATATAATAAAATAGACAAAGTTACTGCCTTTTGCTGAGATCGATGAAAGGTTTTCAAGTCGTCTACAAACAGAGCGTGGGTGATCTTTTTGTCTGGGGCATGCGATAGTTTATATCCCTCCGTACTCCTAAGGTACCATGCGATAGGGTTCAGTGATAGGGTGAAGAGTCGCACACAGAAGGAGTCTCCTTGCAGAATTCCTCTGTTGACTTTGATGGGGCCAATGGCAGGAGGATTATTGTCATTGTTATTATTATTTTTACTCTCCCCCCAGTAATAAGCGTACCGTATCTTCCCTAATCTGAGGCGCATGCGCGGACGTTAGTCATATATTCACCATAATAACATACAAAGGGATCCGATATTTGGCACAGCGGATCTATTTTTGATCTCAAGAGAAAAGTGCGCAAATCCTATGACTCAAGCAACCACGGAACCCTACATAAACAAATATAAATTCAATTGATACGTGCTTATTTTTAGAGCAACACTGAGTTGATGACCAGTAAATTAAGTACAAAGACACAAGAAGTGAATGCCATAAGAACCGAAAACGAGCAACTGAGGGTAAGCAAAGGCATTGGATCATATGCACGCGACAGTAAAATGAGCACGATCCATCCGGGTAAGAGAAATTGGACGATGTTTGACATGTTTTGAATTGTAAATCTTGTTTAATTTACAGGCCGACATCGTAGCTTTAGAAGAACGACTACACGAAGAAGAACAGAAAGCGCTCAATAAGGTTAGAGCTTTAGTGACTTAAAGTTTCCCAAGGTAGAGAAAGCAGGCGTAAGATTTGCTGCTTAGGGTGAGTGGCAAGGGTATTGTATTACAGTATCTGGTATTTCCATATAGAGTGCTCTGATTGTCGCCAATATAATGTAGAGGAACTTCAGATCAGAATATCTTTCAATTTCTTCAAGACAAAGACCATTCTTCTTTGTATATAGGATATCCTGCCAGTTAAAACAGTCTACCTGTAAATTATAATCTAACTCGTTGATAGGAGCCACTCTCTCCATTCTATAAGAATTTATCGTTTTCAAAATACTTATGTTAAGACACAGGTAACCCAAATTCTATTCAAAAAGTTTTCAAAAGAAAAAAGTAGCCAATTTTGCAATCTAGTACCCAGATCCTTCTCAGTTTCCCAACAGAAAGGCTCTTGATAATCCTATGTACCGGTAGTGTGCATATGTCGCACGACCCAGATTCTGGGTCTTTTGGTATCGTCTAAAACCAGAGCCTTCAACTTGTTGGGAACCGAGAAGGATCTGAACACGAGAATGCCAATGATGATAAGTAGAAGTATAGTGAGACATCCCTGGTCTGATGAGACGTAGCCTTAGTAAAGACTCTCCACTTGTCCCTTATCTATACTACGGAGTAATAATATGTGCGGTCTTCTCTTTCCATCAATAATTGATTCAATTACTTCGTGCCCATTATTCCTACTGTCGTGTAGAATAGGAAGAAACTCCTCCGTGTGCCTCTGATGGATTATTTGATATATTCAGTTATAAATATAGCTTCAGCCGTCGTATAAGTATAACAATCTGTTTGTACAGGAAGGAGTTCAGTCTGAGCTGAGAACAGAGTTAAGTAGTTTAGTGAGCAGTATGAAGCACTACGATGGATTGGTCGAGGAGTATAGGAAGAAGGTACAATTACAAATTTAATATTTATACTTTTTGATGCAATGTAATAAATAGTGTTTAAAAAACGAGCAGGAGTGCTTTATCGGGAGATATAGACACGAGGCCGAAGGCCGAGTGTCTATATCCCCGATAAAGCAAGACTGCGAGTTTTTTATACTACTTCTATACTCTTCTTATACTCTTCCTTACGTAAGAACGGCTAGTCTATGCTATACTGCATGTCTACACATTGATTCAAACTGATTTAAAACCTAGCAAAGGTCTATGATGCGACATTAAAACTGAGACCTTTGCTAGTGTTGGGTTGCGATAAAGCGCTGATGAACTTTAACATCAGTTCTGATACTAATAAAACATCAGTTCTATATCTCTGATATAGAACTGATGAATAAAACATCAGTGCTTTATCGGGATATAAAGGCCCATCATGTGACCCAATAGTTCGATGCTCATTGGACTAATAGCTCATGAATTATTAATGAGTTCTAGAATAGCGGTAATAATTTATGTGGATAGCTACGTATCATCATAGTAGTTTTCTGTACACTAATCCTCATGACGGGACTGTAGGTAGAGTCATTAGAAAGCGAGAAAAGCGACCTTGATAGTAGTATGATAGAAAGCAAGTCTGTTTTGGACGATTACAGGAAACAGGTACGTAGGCAGGTGAGATGACGTACCAAACTATTTGACGGAATATGACATTTCAGTAGTATTAGTGTGTCAGTAATGTAGCTGTCTTTAACTGCTGTGTATAGTCGTGCATGAAAACAGATGAAATCAAAGAACTAAAAACATATTTGAAAGAATATGAAGACAAGGTAGCAAACATGAGAAAACAGGTATGGCGGGCTGGTCATTATGTGTCATTTTCAAGTCGGTTTTATTCTTATATTTCAACACTTAGGAGTTTGTTACAACATATTGGATGATAAATGCTCTACACACTAAGTATATATAGTATCGACTATTCATATATGGTTCGTGTTTCGTTCTATAATGGGAGCTAAAATTTTAATTAAGATTTTCACCCCACGAATATCGACATCCAAATCCCCTGACGCAAATGTCCTTATGAAAGTTGAGAATAGCATCCATACTTACCTTAATAGAAGCTAATGTTGAAAAACTTTAGATGGAATCGTTAGAAAGAGAGAAAATTCAACTTCAAGGCTGCGTCGACGAAACACGATATATAGTTGAGGAGCATAGGCACGAGGTAACTAGATCATCACTTTTGAGTAAGATGTTGTAGAGGCAGCCCTATACCTTAACAATTTCAGCACATGAATGAAGGCAAACTAGCATAGATTAAGAAAGACTGACCCACTCGTGGTAAGGGAGAACTGCACATTACTAAACTGTTAATGTTAATGACTCACTTTCTGGTTCTCACTTGCCTCAAGGTTATTTCTCCTTAGGTCCTCGTCCGCAGTTAAATAATGATACTCCTTCTATTTTCCTTTGGCTCTCGTCACATTCTCTCAATGTTATATACAGAAAACCAAAGAACAGCGAGAATCACAGTATGCGAAGCACACATGATTATAATATTTCCTACCTTAGACTAGGAGTAAATCTGCAGAAATAGAAAGATTGGTTGCACAAATCAAGAATTACGAGGATAGAATGGACAGATTAGAAAGACAGGTTAGAAAATAACACGAGGCGGGTTTGTAGTACGTATTCCATATATGGCACAAACTAACAAGCGAATAGAAGCACCTAACAAGCAAATAGAACCACCTAACAAGCGAATAGAAGCACCTAACAAGCGAACAGGGGTCCATACTTTTTTTCACTTGTATATTTTTCTACAGTTTTTTATCGACTTATTCCAGCTTTTTAGCTACGCCTTAACTTATTAAAAATTTTCTTATCAAATTTTAACTTAGAATTATGAATTTAACATTTTATAGCCTGACCCGTCCTTTTCCCTAAACCTAACCCTTCGACTACAAATGTAAAGCGCCTTAACTAACTTGACCACGAGAGATTACGCTGGCAAACAACGAATTGTTTGTGACATTTAAAGTATTTTGCATTGCTAATAGCACCGGTAAATTGGGATTCCTTAGGGGCCGCTATTCGCTTGTTAGGGGCCTCTATACGCTTGTTAGTTAATACCATATATGGAATACGTACTACAAATCCGCCTCGGTGCTTCTATTCGCTTGTTAGGGGCCTCTATACGCTTGTTAGTTAATACCATATATGGAATACGTACGACAACCCTACCACAATCTCAATAACACTCTTGTGTGGCAGTATACTTGCGTTATAAAAGCTGTTGACGTTACTTGATCACATAGCCATCGAGATTGAGTGTATGGACTGATAATAGATTGAAAATTCAGAAAGACAGGGAAGTACAGAGCTTCTTAGAAAGCATTTACTTGAAGATTGATTGATGAAAAGATAGCGGCGGAGCCCTAATGAATAAGCTCATGTAAATGAAAAATAGATCATATTGATTTTGTGTGAATACAAAACGTCTCTTTGGTATCCTCATTCCCTTTTTAACTCGACCTTGTGGTGTTGTAACGCAGGTTGTTCTAAAGGAGAACGAGATCAACAAGTTACAAGGCTCACTAGATGTTACGAATTCTTTGGTAGATGAATTTAGGAACAAGGTACGAGATCTAAGTGGATTATATATTCTGATGATTCGATCACCGCTATAGTTTTAGTTGGCTAATTTTCTTATCATTTTCTCTAAGTCGAGGTTTAAATCAGACGAGCTAGAGAATCTTCGAGCTGAAGTCTCTTCTTATAGGAGTAGGACAGATAGGGAGCTTTTACAGGTATGAACTTAAAAGCCGGACGGCGTTTTTCCGCGAAATACAAGGTCCTCTTAAAATGTAGGACATGGAAAATCTTATGCCCTAACTCTTGGGTATATAGTTAATTAAGTAAGTTATAGGTTCTACAAAAAACATAAATACTGAAAGCATTCAGTAGTAGTATTGTATAGAATGCATTATAAAGCTGAGGCGTATTTTTAGGCAAGTTTCAACTCTAATGAAACGCAAGTTTTAAAAGATAAGATAAAAGAACTTGAATCCAAATTACAAGAGCAGAAAGCACAGGTAAAAAGTAGTTCATAGATGAGTCACCAGGGCTCGAAATAACGGCCAGACATATGCAGGACAAGATGTCCCTCTAAATTCAATTTTGGAAGGTTATGTCGAATTTTGAAAGGACAAAAACTTTATTATACTATTATTTTCTTTTAATTTAGAGGTTTTTGTATTCAGAAAGATCGGCAAGCATTTTAATGACTTGTAAAAGATTTATTTAGCGAATTGGGAATTGATTGGTTTTTTTTTTGGTTTTTTTTTTTTTGTCTAAAATGTGTGAGGTCAATTTGTCCTTTCAAAACCCGATTTGGCCGGTCATCTAGCGAATTTAGAAGGACATTGTCCTTTGACCGGCCGTTTTTTCGAGCCCTGGTCACATGGTGGTGAATATAATGGTTATCAGTTCTTGTTGCTAATTCCTTGATACATGTGATGACTAAAAGCAATGAAAGTAAAGGACCTTTCTACTGAAAACAAGACTCGTTCTTCGTTTCTAAACTTTTTTACGGGATTTTTCCGTAGTCATCAAGCGGCCAAAAGACACCACTTTGTGCCATCGATAACATGGCAACATATAATATAAAAATTAGGTAAAACCTAATAGCGGAGCTCCCAAAAGATATGCATGTTGGATGAAGATGTGATGCAAGACACATTGGTCAGATTTTTAGTACATGTTTTGTCAAGAATAATTTATTTTTGCTAACAAAAAAATTCCATGGCACTACATTAAATAATTATTAAACTTTTTCTCTTCAGCTTTGTTGATGCAAATCAGTGATATATATAATTATATGTAAAGAAAACCACTTATTTTGAATTCTTGTGGTTATTTACCAAAATAAAACTTCCTTAGAAATCATAAATTAATATTAATTCTTAATATATTTTGAAACTTTGACATTTTTCAATCATACAGGAATTATAAATAATATTAAATGCATTTTGGCAGTTTTGGTATTTTTCAATCATTAAAGGAAACATAAAATAATAACAAATGCATTTTGACAGTTTTGAAATTTTTCAATCATGCAGAAATAATAAAAATAACAACAAATGCATCATGTCAATAAAAATTGTTTGCAATTTTGTTGTTTTAAATTCTTAATAGTTGATATTTTTCAATCTTTACAGGAATCATCAAATAATATAAATGCATTTTGACAGTTTTGGCATTATTCAATCATGCAGAAATCATAAATTCATATTCTTGAAATGTTCAAACTTTTTGATCTTCTAATGTTTATGTAACTACAGACTTTTGCTTACACAAATGTCATTTAATAGACAGAACATTACAGCTGTCGCTTGAAGATATGAATTTTATCTTCAAGTTTTGAATTTATATATCCCACGAGTTAGCACAATATTTCCATGCACCCATGTAATATCCTTTATTCAATCACACAGGAATGATAAATAATAATAAATGCATTTTGGCAGTTGATATTTTTCAATCATACAGTGATCCAAAAAAAATGATTTATGGGTCATTTATGCAATTTGACAGTTTGGGTGGTTTTTCAATCACACAGGAAACATACGTAATAGTAATTTGATCACACAGGAATGACACTAATCAATGTAATAAATACATTTTGACAGTTTTGTAAACAAAGGAATCATAATAATCATAATGATTATCCATTTTTCAACACTTCAAATTCTTTGCTTATCTTTGCTCTCTGTATTTGTTGACAGTTTGTATTAAAGAGTTTATTGAAGAATAAAGAGTAAAATCTGAATATTCAATTTAAACATCAAGGCTCTCTTTTCAAAATGCATAGTTTTATAAATTAAAACATCCGAGTAGTTTTATGTCAAAGAAGATTATTATAGTGGATAGAATGTACGTGTACGAAACGTGTACACAATTCGCACATAATTTCATTGTCAACAAGCTCATTTAACGTTTTGAAGTGTATCAGGTGAAGATTTTCAAATTCAAAAGCAAATTTAAACCAGGTTAAAACTGCCAAAGGTTCTTGAAGTAGAAGAACTGATATAAGCTTAAGTTTACTTAATTTGAGCACCAGAAACCGCTTGCACATTATAATCTAACATACCGCCATTTGTTTAATAACGCCACGGTATCGTCGGAGAATATGTCAATTCTCCCCTGAGAAATTCTCCATCAATAATCGTTGTCTTTGGCGTTCACTAGTTTCTCGATTTGCTTTCAAGCCTGCGTTGTTCTTCACTTAGACTTCTTCGACGCTCTCTTTCTCTTCTTCTTGTCTTTTCTTCTTCAGATAAAGATCGCTTTCCGTTAGCTACCCGTTGATTTTCCGACATTTGGCGCAGAATAAAGTATTTGAAAGGACAAAAATGGAGTCGTTGTGGTGAAAAAGCTGCTTTCAAAAACTGACGCGAGCGCGCTTCCTTTTCCCGCCTTCTCAAAAGTAGCCAATCAGAATCGCGATGTACACGGACGGACGGACGTACGTACGGAAGGACAACTGGGCTTCCTGTGTCGGTTGATCAAAACTCAACCTCATAGGCCTTTTCTGAAATAGCATGACGCTTTGCATCGTGGTCTAGATTCGGTACAAACATCTTTTGTTCATGTGGCCAAATATGGTGTTGTTTGTACTGAAACTAGACCACAATGCACCATGATTTCGTATCTCAGAAAAGGTCTATGGGTTTACCATTTTTCCTTAGTTATGGTGCTCCGCTCGCGCGGGCCTTCGGCCCGCGCGGGAGCTCCGCTATAAAGGGACCAGTAATATATTAGAAGGGAGGGATGGGAATGGGATTTTGACAAAAAAATAAATTGGAAAATGGGATCAGACAGCCCTCCCCTCTACTGAGGAGCTTCACAAAATTATGTAAAGATTTTTAAGGGTTCCTTTTTTTAGTTCATCCCATTCATCCCGTTCAGGTTCTTCTAGTGTTTAAGTATGAAATCAGTCAACTATGGACCATATGAAAAACGAGCAGAAGACTGAGAATGAGCACATTAAATGTTTTTTTTCAAAATCTGTTTTTACCATATAAAAGAATACATCTAAACTAGTAAATTGGCAGAGTTTTAGTTTGAAATGTTGAATATCAGCAGAGTTACGAGCATTTGAAATGTAGCTAAAACGTGAAAACAAGGCTTGCGTCAATGCTGATTTTCACTTTAAAGTCTTTGCAATTTCAAACACCTGTAATTTCTGGTCCTTGAATGTTAGAGCAATCAAACTTTGAGATCTTTATTATTATAATATGTTCTTTCAACGGATANGTTAAATAATGATACTCCTTCTATTTTCCTTTGGCTCTCGTCACATTCTCTCAATGTTATATACAGAAAACCAAAGAACAGCGAGAATCACAGTATGCGAAGCACACATGATTATAATATTTCCTACCTTAGACTAGGAGTAAATCTGCAGAAATAGAAAGATTGGTTGCACAAATCAAGAATTACGAGGATAGAATGGACAGATTAGAAAGACAGGTTAGAAAATAACACGAGGCGGGTTTGTAGTACGTATTCCATATATGGCACAAACTAACAAGCGAATAGAAGCACCTAACAAGCAAATAGAACCACCTAACAAGCGAATAGAAGCACCTAACAAGCGAACAGGGGTCCATACTTTTTTTCACTTGTATATTTTTCTACAGTTTTTTATCGACTTATTCCAGCTTTTTAGCTACGCCTTAACTTATTAAAAATTTTCTTATCAAATTTTAACTTAGAATTATGAATTTAACATTTTATAGCCTGACCCGTCCTTTTCCCTAAACCTAACCCTTCGACTACAAATGTAAAGCGCCTTAACTAACTTGACCACGAGAGATTACGCTGGCAAACAACGAATTGTTTGTGACATTTAAAGTATTTTGCATTGCTAATAGCACCGGTAAATTGGGATTCCTTAGGGGCCGCTATTCGCTTGTTAGGGGCCTCTATACGCTTGTTAGTTAATACCATATATGGAATACGTACTACAAATCCGCCTCGGTGCTTCTATTCGCTTGTTAGGGGCCTCTATACGCTTGTTAGTTAATACCATATATGGAATACGTACGACAACCCTACCACAATCTCAATAACACTCTTGTGTGGCAGTATACTTGCGTTATAAAAGCTGTTGACGTTACTTGATCACATAGCCATCGAGATTGAGTGTATGGACTGATAATAGATTGAAAATTCAGAAAGACAGGGAAGTACAGAGCTTCTTAGAAAGCATTTACTTGAAGATTGATTGATGAAAAGATAGCGGCGGAGCCCTAATGAATAAGCTCATGTAAATGAAAAATAGATCATATTGATTTTGTGTGAATACAAAACGTCTCTTTGGTATCCTCATTCCCTTTTTAACTCGACCTTGTGGTGTTGTAACGCAGGTTGTTCTAAAGGAGAACGAGATCAACAAGTTACAAGGCTCACTAGATGTTACGAATTCTTTGGTAGATGAATTTAGGAACAAGGTACGAGATCTAAGTGGATTATATATTCTGATGATTCGATCACCGCTATAGTTTTAGTTGGCTAATTTTCTTATCATTTTCTCTAAGTCGAGGTTTAAATCAGACGAGCTAGAGAATCTTCGAGCTGAAGTCTCTTCTTATAGGAGTAGGACAGATAGGGAGCTTTTACAGGTATGAACTTAAAAGCCGGACGGCGTTTTTCCGCGAAATACAAGGTCCTCTTAAAATGTAGGACATGGAAAATCTTATGCCCTAACTCTTGGGTATATAGTTAATTAAGTAAGTTATAGGTTCTACAAAAAACATAAATACTGAAAGCATTCAGTAGTAGTATTGTATAGAATGCATTATAAAGCTGAGGCGTATTTTTAGGCAAGTTTCAACTCTAATGAAACGCAAGTTTTAAAAGATAAGATAAAAGAACTTGAATCCAAATTACAAGAGCAGAAAGCACAGGTAAAAAGTAGTTCATAGATGAGTCACCAGGGCTCGAAATAACGGCCAGACATATGCAGGACAAGATGTCCCTCTAAATTCAATTTTGGAAGGTTATGTCGAATTTTGAAAGGACAAAAACTTTATTATACTATTATTTTCTTTTAATTTAGAGGTTTTTGTATTCAGAAAGATCGGCAAGCATTTTAATGACTTGTAAAAGATTTATTTAGCGAATTGGGAATTGATTGGTTTTTTTTTTGGTTTTTTTTTTTTTGTCTAAAATGTGTGAGGTCAATTTGTCCTTTCAAAACCCGATTTGGCCGGTCATCTAGCGAATTTAGAAGGACATTGTCCTTTGACCGGCCGTTTTTTCGAGCCCTGGTCACATGGTGGTGAATATAATGGTTATCAGTTCTTGTTGCTAATTCCTTGATACATGTGATGACTAAAAGCAATGAAAGTAAAGGACCTTTCTACTGAAAACAAGACTCGTTCTTCGTTTCTAAACTTTTTTACGGGATTTTTCCGTAGTCATCAAGCGGCCAAAAGACACCACTTTGTGCCATCGATAACATGGCAACATATATAATGATTAAGAGCCTATCAAATGTTTGGAATAGTAACAACGATTATAAATAAAACGCTAGATGATAATTTTAATGCTTCTATTGTAGGGAACATCTCAACTTAGAGAGATAGATCAGCTAAGAGCAATACTGATAGAATACGAGTCCAGAATACAAGGAGAAGCTATGCAGGTAGTAGACTCTAATGCAGCCATCCCGACACAAATATGTGGCTGCATGGGAGGGAGGCTATGCAGGAAGACATCGCAAATCATTCCTGTGTAGTATTAGGGAACTCTCAACAAATCTACATTGTAGAGCATGTTGTATCAAAGTTTTTCTAAGACACCAAAATACTTGAAACATCGTCGCTCTATTACAACCGATTCATCCATTGACCATAAAAGACTTGATTATCCATGACACGTCCAACTTGCAACTCAGTTAAGCATTTGCTTCTGACAAGTTGGGCAAAGCAGTTGCTGCGCAAAATAGACAGTGGACTAACTTTTTACTTTTACTTACCGGTTATCCAGTTCTGTATTTTTCCTGAAAATTTGGCCGTCACTTTCATTAGAAGCATTCTAGCCAATCAGCGCGCACGTAGGTTTTCCAACTTTCAGCAATTGCCTCTGCTGAATATTTCTGTTAGAATGTTTTTGGTCGATATTTTGGGAGCAGTAATGCAAATATCCAAGCATGAATTTTGACCAGATAAAATAACTATTTTATTCCAAGTATTAAAAGTTGGTTTTACGAACCGATGTGTTTAGGGAACCAGCAAGGCACAAGATCTCATTAAACTAAAGTCTCAGCTTAAAGCTCATAAAACTAAGATGGAAGAATTAAAGCTACAGGTATGAGGAAGACAGTGTGGTATATAGTATCCATATAGTAAAGGTAGCCAATGCTAACTTTTCAATATTCGCAAGAAAAAATCACTGCTGCGATACAAACCTCTCCATTAAATTAAAGAATGTTGGATGTAGGAATGTTTGGAGTTCACGCAATAATTATCCACGAATTTATTCAAATCAAATTTGACAAGGCCTCGTTTTTTAGACATCGGCCTAACACGATGTCTGAACTTCTGAAGTCACATTGCAGACGTACAGTTTCGGTTCTGATTAGTTGAATTGTTTGTATAGATCGTAACATTACAGACAGAGAATGCACAGTTGAGATCAAATGTTAAACAGTTTAAACGATTGGTAGATGACTACAAAGGACAGGTATGCACAATAACGTTATACGTAGTATTCTACATGACGGCACAGTACAGTATACCATGACGTCATAAGTAGTATTCTCTAACGGCATTGACGTCATTGGGATATGACATGATATGACATGATATGGGATATGACAAATATTCTACGACGTCACAGCCAATATTCCTGACGCAATAGTATAGTATATATATATATATATATATATATATATAGGGCATATGTTTCCTATTAGTAGCCGGACATAAAAGAGGAGGTAATGATTAGCTATCCCGAAATTCAAAAAAGGACTGGTCCATATTTCGCAAACTTGATAAAGTTTGAAGCAATCAAAAAAAAACAGATACCATGACAAGAAGGCATACTAAAATAAGTACTGTTGCAGAGTTTGATGGTATTTGGAAGAATAATTAAAAGCGTTGGAGATTCGAAAAAGTAGGAAACATTTATGGAGCTTTTGAGCAGCGTACCCGAAAACCATTCTCTTGATATTTGGTTGAATACCCGGTGAGTATTCAACCAAATAAGCTCAAACTCTTAACACAGCACTAATTGGAGGTGGTCTTTCATATGGTGAGGTTCAGTTTCAACAAGTGAACTCGTTCCCAGTTTATTTTTCAATTTCTGAAAGGCCAATTGAGTAAAGCTAAGGATAAGCATCATTCATTACATGCTATTTCATTCAGTCAAGCTCCATTCAGGGTGAAATGGCGCACTTACGCGCAACGTCAGCGCAATATGAAAAACTAATAGAAGATTATAAGCAACAGGTAAGGCAGACAGGAGAACTAGCTATAGATAAATTCATTTTATCCATTGTAATTGTGATATCGCCGTAAGACAAGTTTTCTTTAAAAAAGGCTCCTTAAGATGAACGCTATATTATCGAAGACTTTGCTTACAGTAATTAAGGGTACATATATCTATGATTCCCAGGAGAGTTCTCTAGAAATATACCCCACATGCCTATTTACACGACTCTAAGATGAACGCCGAAAAATAAGATGAACAAATTGAAAACTGAAAACACCTTGTTACCAGTCCTCACCTAGCCTGTGCTTCTCTACCTTGCGAGAAGAGGAATTTTCCTTTTACCCAAGAGAGTCATTCAAATTAAATTGTTGCAGTTGTTCATTATAAACTACCATTTCATTCAAAAAAACAATCCAACTAAAGTTACTATACCGTTATTCCTGACATTTTCACTGTTAAAGATTGACAAATACCGTCGAGAAGCCGAGGAAACAAGAAGTCGAATGTACGACGTCGAGCAGGATTCACAGCGGTTACACCAAGAAACAATGATGGAAACTGAAAAACAAAAACTCAAGATGCAGCAACGCTTGTCTGAACTGGAGCCACTCGCTGATCTTTTGAAAGTGAGTTCTTGTACTAAGAAAGTGGAATTTCTGACAGGAAGAGGGAGTCCTATGACGGGGTTTATTTATTTATGGTCACCATTTTTCTCAAGTCGTCTATCATAAATTAGATCTGTAGGAGAGTAGCCAATCAAAGTGTATATCTGACGAGTTTATCAAGCTCTTGCATTAATTATATACATATACTTTGTGCATTATCAGAGATGAGAACATACGCTGTATACTCTGCAACGTAAATTAGAAATTTATGAAATGAAGACATTCATATCTGCTCCCTAAAGCATTGTCTCTTTAAATAGCAAAGGCGGGTCGCTCGTTTCAAGTACATTTCTTTTGCAGTCCACTGAGTTACGCCTTCAAGATTCACAAGACAGACTGCTGACCTACGAACGACGGGCCAGCGAACACACGAAGCTTATTGCTGAGTTGACGCAAAAGGTAAAAGTCTCACTAAGGTTTGCAAAACATTAAAAGCACGATGGGAATTCTAGTTCGCGCTGATGTTTAAAAATGATTACCAAAATCCGCGAGTTTTATTTACAGAAATGACAAAGCTATTTGCCATTTTGAAAACAAAACCTAAAGCAGACATACTATATCACGAGGATTTAAAGTGTGCGAGAAGTGCATTTCACATCAAACATCACAGCAATCATTAAGCCATGTTGCTCTTGAACGTTTTTTAATATTATTTCGGTTGAAGGGTTAGCAAGAAGTCTGTAAGAACACTTTATCTTAACTGCATATTCCTACCAGGTCGAAATGCAGACAGATCAGCTCGAGCATATGCGAGAAAAATTTCGCACAACTCAAGACGAACTTCGTGGCAAACAAACAAAGACTGAATATCTTGAGAAGTGAGTGAAAGTTGAAGAATTTTTACCTGCAAGACAGGCTTATGTCTCCTTATCCAATTTGCGTTAATTCGCTGTCGTTTCCGTAGGAAAAACAAAGAATCCGAGCAGCAAAATCGCGAACTGATAGGAGTGCTGGGGAAAAAAGATGAAAACTTGGAGCACAATCAGGTAACGAACAAGCTTATCATAAAATAACAAGTTTGATAGATAGTGACAGCACAACTGTACAGTTCAGTTTATTACTTTGTGACATAAACGTCACGTCACCGGGTATATTAATAGACCTTTTTACTTATAGCAACGGCTAGAAGATCTTAGGGCTGAGAACATGCGCTTGACGTCACAGCTGGAGTCTTCGCTATCCGAAGCRAGAAGACAAGCAGAGCTACAACGAGAGAAAAATGTTGCGAAGGTTGGTTTCGACACTTTGAGCAAACACCAACAAAAAGGAGATTTATATTTTTAACAATAAAGAACGGGCGAAACCAAGGATAGCTGTGCGCTATACGTTTTTGAAGTCATTGGCTAAAGCATAGTTAATATTAACTATGGCTAAAGTGCMYCTTATAGCGGCGGACTTTTAGGCTTTTAAACCCAGCTGGAAGGGTGCACTAATAGCCGAACATGTTATCCCCTTGATCTCACTAACTACCAAACAACACGGCGTGCGAAATCTGAAGTTGTTCTTGGCATCCTCATTACTTTTCTGTCTCCTCGGCCTTGCACTATATTGTAGACATATAAGGGAGCTCTATAAATTTTCAGAGCGTGTCAACGTTTAATACAAGACTCTATAATCGAAATTATCACCATTAACAAGGAATTTGTTCTCTAATTAGGAACGAGCAGCTCAGGCGAGAATCGTTGACTTGGAAACGCAATTGAGTCGTGCTACAGCCAGTGCGGCATCTATGAAAAGAGCTAAGGACGAGGTAAGTACAACCATGCATTAGCCATCCTTTCCCAGCACCATAAAATAACACTTTCACTCTTGCAATCAGTCAAAAGACTGTATTTTCACATTTCTTTTGGTTATCCTTTATTTTACCTTTTCAAAGAAAATTCAAACTTCTTTTGTGTATCCCCTAATCACGACATCTCTGTTCTGGCCTAAGGCATCATGGTATAATCAAAGTATCAAGATGGCGGATGTCTTATAAAACCTATGAAGGACCACGAGAAAGAAAGAAGTTTCTTAGGAATATGAACGTTGTCTAATGTCCAGAAGGTTTTGGAGCATACTTTTTGCACATTACATTGTATTTCAAGTTCTTACAGAGTGTTCTCGACGACGGTCAATGTGAATTTTGAAAAGAAACTTCGTCTTGTAGATTTTATAAGACGTCCTGCACCATTTTGGAATGCAAGAGTGCTTTGTAAAGTGATTCGCGCATTATCAGTTTGCCCCATTTATCTCGAAACGTATTTTTACGGCAATTCTCCAAGAATTTTAACGGATTTGAGTTTCAAATTAGTGTTAGAGTTTTTGAAGCCGTTTAAAACACTCGAATCTTTACTTGATAAAACTCTCTCTCTCTCGTGTTTTAGACTATACGTAAACCACTGCTGGGAATGGAACCCCATTACGTCTAAAGCTAACATTTTCTGTGTTTTTGCAAGGCTGAACGAAGATTCAACTCGAAGTTACACGACATGAAAGATCGCTTAGAACAAGCAAACAGTACAACACGTAGCATGCAGAACTACGTAGCTTTCCTGAAATCTTCCTACTCAGACGTTTTCGACGAACTGGAATCCCCTCGATAGCACAACAAAACCTTTATATATACTCTATTTTATTTTTTTTACATCATATATGTGTTAGATTTCTTAAATTCAATCAAACAATCTTGATCTAATGACCCATATATCTTTTCTATCACTATCTATTATCAGTAACTCAAGTCTGATTTTCTGGACTTTTCATCTGATGTTCATAAATTATATTTGATGTATAGCGATTGTTTTATATAATAGATAAAAAAACTCTCGAGCTGCGAATAAATTCTTACGTCTGTACTGGGATATTTTCAGAACCACATGGCCGCAAATATGGTTTTCATGCCCCCATCGGCTACAAATTGTATTTCACGGGTTTATGAATACCACTCAAAATTGTTTCAAAAGAAGTCCCTTCATCAAGCGAAAGGCCTGAATGCTAAACTTCAAGTTACAGAAATTTTAAAAGTTCAGGCTGAAGATCGTTGCTGTTGCCGTTCGCAGAAGTGTGCGCGCTGATTGGCTGCCAAATAGTACTCCAAATCCTATATTCCCATGCAACGCTGATTATAAATTGACCTACGGATTTTGCAAGCAACAAGTATAAAAGCCTCTTATTTGACCTATTTATTGAATTTAAAAACAATTCTACATATAATCTACTACCTTTCCAACATCTAATGGAAGGCGTTTCGTCTATTGACAAATGCTTTGTTTTGCATCAGTTGAGTGATTTTAAAACAACATTCCAAGTATTGTGACGTTGACAATCAAATTCGAATAGTTTTATAACTTGTATCCCAGATATAATACTAAATTACAGAGCACCGCAACAGGAACCAAGTCGAAATGGCTATTATAGCAGAATGCGTCCGGTTCTTTGTTCTTATAACCCAACAAACTGCCTCTAATATATATGGTTTTTGTGAAAGAAAGGTCAATGGTRTAAAGGACCCAAAAACAGCAATTGAATTCACGGACGATGAAATAGCTATTCAAGCGCAGTATATTTGCGATAAATACATGGAACAAAAGTTTGCACTCAAAGAGAGCTACAGAGACGTTTTCAAGACTCCCACAAGCAACACAATTTGCTCTAACGATGTTCTCAAAACGATGATTAAGTTTGGTCGTATTTTAGAAAAAGGATACCCAAAACTCTATACTGATGTTGTTGATCAACTCAACTTCAGGATCAACTACGAAATCGTCGTCTGCGGTTTGTTTACGTGTGTCTGTGATAACATTTTAGCCGAAGGTGCAACATGGGCAAAGATTGTGTCTATGTACGCTTTTGCAGGGGCTTTGGCATGTGATTGTTGTAAAGTTCATGATTATAAGACTGCCAAGAATATCTCGAAGTGGATGGGGCAGTATTTTCGTAAGAGGTTGATTGGTTGGATAAGAAGTCACGGTGGATGGGTAAGTTTGTCAACAAATAAACTCTGTGTCTGTTGACATTTTTAATGAGTCCCATCCTGGGACGATAAATATTTAGAAGCTACTCAAATACACTTGAAAGATGAAGCTTTCGATTAGTGTATGTTTCTCTATTCATTTCCCATAAATGGAGCCGTAGCTAAAACGGCTGCGAGGGACTTCGAAAACATCTAGTCTCATCGAAGCTAGAGACGTCTTCGAGTTGCACTAGGTAAAATGATCATTCATGATTTCTTCGCAGGGTAGGGATTCACGAGGCCGGTTCAGGGACGATATAGCATATTTTTTGGTTGAGGAGTTAACAAATACCGAACGCAGGATCAATTAGGGGGCCCAGATTATGTGTTTTCGAGCATTTTTTGAGACTTCGATACTTTATGAAGTGAATCCACGAAAATGTCCTTTCCAGTGCTATGAAAAGATTGGTACATTTCCTCAGGAGCAGGATAGCAGATCTTAATATTTCACGTTTTCGAAGGAGCAAATGAGGGTTGTCGTGCCGATTACAAGTATCAACCGAAGCTTCATAAATGTTAAAAATGAGATGTTAATCCCCCGGGGGGGGGGGGGGTACTCCCATATATTTGCTATACGGGGACGTGCCGCTGGCCAGGGTATGGGTTTGGCCTTGCTGTCTTAAACAGGGTATACATTTTACCCGAAATTGTCTTAAACAGGCTCTACAATTTAGATAGAAGACCTATATAATTTTTTGCGTGTCTTGGACAGGGTAATATTTTCATAAAAAAACACCGTAGAAATGGTAGAAATACCGTTTCACTGTCCCAGGATTAACGTGTTATCAAAAACGTCTTACTGTCTTTGATGGATGTCAGTATAATTGCAGTTTTGATGGTTGCGGCGTAGATAGCTATTCCTTACTTTTCCGATTTTTCTTGAACAGGGTAAGGATTTTTACTTTTTAGTGTCTTAAACAGGGTCAGGGATTTAGACCGCTGGCGGCACGTACCTATCCAAAACGGGGTCGAGTACCCTCCCCGGGGTTAATCCAATGTGGTGGAATTCAGAATCCTTCTAGTCTTTCATGAATCCGGAATCCAAAGGATTCCGTGAAATAGTGCGAAAAAACAAAGGCGGATCTCTCAAACAAACTGGTACTGATATCACACGCCCAGTAATTAATTGAATTAATGGTTTTACTCATTTAAATTTTGTGATTTTCAGGATGGATTTGCTGCTCACTTCAACAGTAGTTGTCTATTCAGTTCAGGATCTCGTAGGTGCACATGGATGGAGGGGATTATGATAGCAGCCTCAGGAATTGCACTCGCAGGAATTTGTACCATTTTGGTGCATGCTAGCATAGGATGACTACATACCCTATCGGAAGAATTGCATCGCGAGACCAGCCTGCGCGAGACTTAAACTCTTGAACTTCTGACCTTTTACGTCACTACTCGATTTTCGAATGCATTACGGGACCAATTTCAATCAAGATCACAAGTCTTACTCTAATATTAGTCTTGTTCATTCATCCAACATAGCGACAATAGCTTTTTTTCCCCGGGAGATTCTGGTCATGTGGTTGCACACCAGCATCAAGTTGCCAAAAAACACAGCCCCGTTATAGTTCAATAGGCAATGTGCAGCGACGCCATTTTGTGCAGCAAACAAATTGAGCAAAGCACGATGGTAGTTGTAGTTGTCGCACTTTTCATAGCCCTTAAAATATTTTCTTAAAAGCCGTTTTTAGAAACGACAAATACTTCTATTTTTGCTTAGATAAAGCAAAAACTGGTTATTAGGACTGTTAAGCGGACTTAAAAAGTAAGAGGACTACAACTTACAACTACCAACATCACAAAATGGCGTCGCTGCACATTGCCTATTTGGGGGGGGGGGGGGGGGTTCGGACAACCAATGTACAATTCAACTACGAAAGTCTTTTATTTCTAAACATTGTCATCACATAACACAAATAGTACATACTAGGTACAGCCGGTTTATAATAAGAAATTATGCAGTCTCAGATACTGCATCAACAAAAATGGTTTTTACTTACATTGAAACGAGGCAAAGTTGTGCCAACAAGCTCATTGACATTAATAATCACTTTACAAAATTAAAGTGGCTGGACAAGACATCCAATGAAAGACAAGCTAAATGGATTAACTTTGCGGGCATCGCGAGTGAAAAGATACAACTAATAAAGAATACATGTGTTGGCGGCACAGTTCAAATAAAATAGTAATGTTAAATTCAAAATGACCCACAAGATGCATTATCACTGCGAGCACTGAGTATCTTGTGGGTTGAATAAAATCAAACTGAGAAAAACTGAAAACGGTACTTAACTGTACTTCAGTTTAGCCCTGAAAGATAACATTACAAACCAATGCAATGTACATATAATGACAGAGGAATCAACACATAAGACAACAATGTTACTATATACAGTTTTCCAATGATGCTTCCACGTTGTCCTGCAGTAATGACGACTATCCCTGCACTTAACGCTTTCATAAAACACTGATGTATCATCACAGTTTAAAAGTTAAAACATCAAGCAATAAGTATACAAGTCTTAAAAGAAGATTTTTAAGATATCAATAGTGTACAGCAATCATAACAAATTCCACTTGACTTGTGCATGAAGTACGAAATACACAGGATGTCTGCTCTTCTACCAGTAAGGGATGTTGGTGACACTACAACCTATAATATCAAGGCCATAAACAGTTTACAATACAGGTTAACATGCCTAACATGCCTAAGAGTTATGTTAAGGGTAGAGGAGTAAGGTTTGAACCAAGAAAGCAAACATATACAAGCACGCTTCACAAAGTCGACATGCTAAATGGTAATTATAAAGAATACACATTTTAAGATATTGACACGCATATGGAGACGCTTCTGAAAAGAAACATTGTTTCATAATAATGTATTGGATTTACTAATGATTATAACAACAGAAACTGAAACATTTTCCCATAAAATTTAGGAAGAATTGCAATTAAATCTATAACCTTCGAAGATGATCTGTACAAAACTTTATACATAAGGGAATATGTTATCACGAAATGCTTTATCATGCAGATAGAAAATGTTATACTCAATCACTACACAATGTTAAATTTATTCATTACAAAATGTGAAAATTAATAAGTGCACTTTATCACTATTTTGTCGCACAATTGAGTCTATGGGACGAGTAGTAACAGCGCTGTACTTTGACTGTGAACTGCTGGTCTGTTTATCATGTGATAAAGCTAGCAGTTTCACTATTCATTGCAACCCATGCCGTCAACTGTAAGGAAAATGTTAAGCATACTTTATAATTTATCAGTTTAATAAATTCTATAGTAAATAAGGTAGTTGGGACCAGGGATAAGAAATAACACCGATCATTCCAGTCAGTCAAAGCGAGAATAAGAATAATTCAAATTATGTAGATTCAGCCCAACAAGATAATGAGTGCATAATGGCATTGGGTGCATTGCAATTATAGTATGAAAATAACATGCAATATAATCATTGGATGTAAACTAATCAACTGGTGTACAGTAATCAAATTATAAGAACTTTTGAAAACATTTGATATAGACAGCACAAGAATGATAAAGAAATTCATCTCAAAGATAAAATACAATCTTGATCACCATTTTATCTCTTTGGGCTCTCATTCCTGGCCAGCACTACCACATCACGACTTGATGTCTGTCTGTCCTATAGCAATCTAGCATTTTTGCACAAATCATTGCAACAACAAATTACAAGCAACAAGAAATTTTGTAAAGCAATGCTGAATATAGGTACAAACTACATGTATCAAGTACATTAAAAACTTCATCACAAGTTACTGTGACTGTTACCACATGTTGGATTATTGCTTGTCTCCTATTAAAAGAGCATCAAAACAATGCATACAAACAAGTTCATAGCAAAAAGTTCAAAAAATGGAAATCATGATGACATGAAAATTATATGATACAATTGAGTATTACCAGTTTGGTGTCAGATTTTTGCTCGTCAATCCTAATAAAACAGCATACAACAATGCATACCAATACAAAAATAGGATGTGCAACATGATACAGAAAATACTGACTGTTATCATCTACTACTAGCATCTGAACAACTCATGTAAACTCATTATACAAAGTATAATTCAAAATATAATTCATATCAATATGTTACGGGAATTACTCTTTTACAGCGCAACTGTTACCAAGATGGTTTCAGCATTTTCATCTCCTAATAAAACAGTGTCACAACATGGATACAAACATCAAAGATGAATTTATACCAGGTTCAAAAATAGAAATTATGATAATAATTATGCAACAAAATCTTTCCGTATGAGATTTTACTGTTACCAAGATGGCTTCAAGCATTCACCTCCTGAGAAAATAGCATACAAAACACAATGTACTAATTTGCACAAAATCAAATTTAAAAAGACTTTCAAAATCAAGAATAAATTTCAGCTAAATGTCTGCTGTCGTGTACTTTCCAACTTCTTCTAGCGAAACCATATTTCAAGTAAAAATGATGCACAAGAATACAAAAGTCATATCAAGGACTTTGGGTTTACCCAGTCAATCCATTTCTCCTATCTTCCCTACTGGTAAACAACAATAACTTGTCTCTTATCAAAGGGTTAAGATTATACATAGCTAAATATGATGAATATACTCAATAGTGCTATTAAAATTAAAAGAGACACATTCTCACTGAACTGTGAAATAGATAACATGCAGCTATTTGAGCATAATGGCCCAACAGACAAAATAAAAACAAGGAATTGCGAATTGTAGTATATACAGTGCATTAGCTATCTCACAGTCTGGTGAAAATTAGGTGCACATTACAATGTGGTATGACCACTGGTGGTAAAATACTATTTTCAAAGGTCATCAATACTAATAGCTATTAAAACAATGGTTAAAAACAATAAAAAAGGATATCGCTTGAATTTAAAAACTATCACTATTACTACCAAACACAATTATGATCCTTTAGGGATATAAAATTGCATCAATTTATTTTAAAATGGAGTTAAAAGCTTTAGGAAAGGTCAAGAACAGGAGAAAGTTGGTTCAAAGTCATTTCAAGGTATTCACACACAAAATATTTCTAGAAAGTCTTAACTTACCTTTACTGTGACGTTGGCTGCTGGTTGTTCTGCTGGTCCTGTTGTTGTTGTCCAGGTTGTTGTTGTTGTTGGTAGTATTGTTGGTAGTTTTGCTGCTGTTTAAAGTACTGGTTCCAGGCTTCAGTATAGTCAGGTTGGCCACCAGCTGAACAATAAACAAAAAAGGAAGGATGAGTAAAATTTAATTAACGCGTTGATAAATGAATAAGTGAAGGGTCAGATGTGAGAACGGCTTAACTGACGATGCAGGGTATTTTTGAAATTTTCGAAAAATTGAAAAAAATCACTTTAATCATTTGTTTCTGGTCTAAATAATCATGTTTGCTAGTTATTTCTMGTGATTTCATTAAAAAAAGCAATAAAAAGCCACATTTAATTACGTACAATACCCTCCCCTCCCCCCAAACTTTAGCATAGGATTTCAGCCTTATGCACTAGGGTTAGGGTTCCTTTAACCTAAGACAGGGTCTAAGGTTCCTTGATTTAGGGTTAGGGTTAGAAGGGCTAGGGTTTAGGGTAGGTTGGGGTTAACGTTAGCTAAGGGTTAGGCACTAAAATCTGAAAAAAACGCGAAACAACGCATTTCTCGACTTCTTGCAGCACAGCTTCAAACCAAAACAAACCGACAAACCAACTGTCAAAGTCATGAGTTTAGCGCGAATATGCCAAATCTAGGATATTTTACGGTCTAGCAATCAGTTGTCAAGCAAAAGAAGTCAGTAACTATGGGTCTTTTTTTTGCTCTTTTTAGAAAGAAATCAGGACAAATAAGTGCTAAATAGGATTATCTAGACTGAAAATAAGCGATTGAAAATTTCAAAAATACCCTGAATCATCACTTAAGCCATTCTCGCATACACCCCTTCAAGTAATGTTGAGATGAAATATCAAAAAATGCAGTAATAAAGGAACACAGCTGTAAATGAAGAATCCAAAAATGGTAATGAATGGTTTGAAGGTATTATTTACATAACCGCATGTACCTTGAGCTGGCTGACCCCCTGCAGCTGCAGCAGCTGCTGCTTGTTGTTGGTAATACTGCTGATAATAAGCTGCCCATGCAGCAGAATAGTCTTGAGCACCTAAAAAGTTAAGCATATTTCTAATTAAAATTTTTACTTTTATGCTGAAGACTTTGTTGTAAAGTCTTTTGTGAGAAATAACTAGATACCCATTCCTTGCCTGTGGTTGGCCTCACTACAGTTTGAAAACATTATGTTCATTATGGTATACAAAACTAGGGTAATCTAGGACATGCATTAATTTTGATTTCTGATTGCAATGTAATTTCACTCTTACCTCCAGCTTGCTGACCTTGTTGAGCCTGCTGTCCTTGCTGGCCATACTGCTGTTGACCATACTGTTGCTGGCTATAATCCTGTTGACCAAATTGTTGTTGATGCTGTTGTTGTCCATACGGGAAGTTGTAATTTTGCTGCTGTTGTTGTTGCTGCTGTTGATTGTTCCAGTTGGAATTTTGTTGATTTTGGTTCCATCTACAAATACAAACATGTGAATTTAATAATTGTATTTTCTGACATACAGTCAATCCCATTAACGTTGTTCTGAAGTAAAGACAACAATAAATTCATTTGCATATATCATATTTGTTTGCTTGTTGTTGTTGTTTTTTTGCAATACTATTAAACCTTAAGTTCCAAAAATTTATGACAATTTCTATAACATTTAACTTGCAAGCATGATCTGGATTTTTAAATATTTAAAAATCTTTTACAAGGATTGAAAATAACATTTATGCAAATTACTTGTCTTTTTGTCTTTACTATTGAGCAACGTTAATGGATTAGCCGACTTGCGAATTACACATCAATAGTCACATACAAAGGAATCAAGACGAGGCGCCATGCTTTTTTGTGAAAAATATATTGTCTTTAGCACGGCGCCTCGTCTTGATTCCTTTGTATGTGACAATTGATGCGTAATTCGCAAGTCGGCTGTTGACTGTAACATTTTCCTGTCACAAAATTCAATTAACAGTAAGGAGACATAGAAGATATTACATGGGCGCGCGGAGATACGGATTTTATCTTCGAGTGTTGAAAAGATTTTCAACACGAGAAGATAAATTTCGTATCTCCAAACGAGATGTAATATCCTGTTTATCATATGATTACATATAAAAGCAAATTATGCCGTAATATACCTTTTTTTCTTAGGTACCATATATAGCGAAACCTCAAATGTGTTATTTTCACTAGTGAAAATATCAATTTTATGAAATAGAGAAATATAGGTATTTCATTGATAATTATATGATAAAATGTAATAAGACTGCTATCATATGCCTTAATGTAATGTTCTGATGGAAATCAGATGATGACCAGCACAGATAAAAGACTGAATTATTGAAATCAGCACATGTGCAGCACATAATAACTACGAAACAAGTTAAAAATGTAAATATTTACTTTTGGTTGAAGTTTCCACCTCCACGGCCTCTTCCTCCACCACGTGGCTAGAAAAATAAATAATTGACACAACACAAATAAATGAAATACCTCATCTGCAAATGTGACTCAGGGACTGCTTCACACAATTAATGCATTCATTTGTGTAAAAAGATAAATTAAACACCGCAAAAAGTAGATGAAGTAACTTACTGACGTTACGGACGTTAATCCTTCGTCGAAGGATTACTTCGTTGAAGGATTAACATTTTGTATCTCCAAAATACATGTATCTTAGATGGTTCAAACAGTGACAAATACTCACATCTTCAAGCTTTTCTCTAATAATGTTCTGAGCTTGTTGTATCTGGGCATCAGTTCCTCTGATAATAAAGTACTTTGTAGGAGAACTTTCTGGGATGTTTCTATTTAATTCAACATGAGCTCCTGATTGGTTGATTATCTGTCTGATAGTTTCTCCTCCTTTGCCAATGATAAGACCACACTTGTTTCCAGGTACTGGGGCCTCAATTGTCTTTACTCCAGGCATGTTAGGAGGGGGTCCCTTGGGAGGAGGTCCACCACGCTGGCGAGACTAAAAGAGAAGACAAGGTGATCACATGATTGGCCCCCTAATGCCCCTTCGTTATAAGGAGGAATGCTTTGAAATATCTCCTATATTCATTGTACAATTTCCCTTCAATACTCTGTGAATTGCAGACAAGTTATATAGGGCTGGTAAGTTTTATGTTTTAACAAAGCTGGTCTTTACTTGTTGCAGGCTAATAGCTAGTGAACTATCTGAAAGAAGAAGTGCTTATACAATGCATTAATGTACATGCATGTGTTGGGAAACCTTTCCAGCAGTCTATTATTGACTAGTTATAGCATAGAGAAGCTTATCAATGCTTTCATTCACTGACATTGCAAAGGGATTGCTCAGGGTTTCTAACTTCTACTAATAAAACATGTTGTTAGAGTGGATCCACTAAATCCATGAAACAAACAATACCACTTGCTACAATATAGCGTTGATGGGACAAAAGAAACTATTTTTTATTATTTTTGTTTCATAGATTAAGTACATTTGCTCCAAATAACAAAAGTGTGCATTTCCTCTACATTTTGTCACAGGTTCTATTATGTCTTATATATGTCCAGTTTTTATTGTAATCATCATCACAAGTTTGATCTTTAAATTCACACAGAAGAGGAAAAAGAAAGACAAAACACAGAGAAAATGCAAGCAATTCATTCTACTTATACACAACTTATTAGGATAAAATGTTAGATGAAATAGCTATTAATGTTTATCATGTTACTGGCACCTTTTAGATATATACATCATGGCAATATTACATGTAATACCTGTTGAATGATCTGTTCTAAGGTCGACTTGATCTGAGATAACTGCTGTTGAGTTCCTCTGGCTAATGCCATTCTGTTTGGACTGCTTGGATTTGCTATAAGAATGATAATAATTATTATTCAGAGTGAATGCCAGACTGAGGTCCCCCTCTAACATGAGTGTACCTAAAAGTCAAGGGTCAAGGGAAAGAAGTTAAGGGTGAGGGTAAAACGTTTTGATTGTAAGTGTTCATATAGATACAGGATTATGCCTGGATACTTCACAAAGAATTGACTTAAAATTCAGTCTTGTTACTGTTATTACACTGAATAAATATTAATTTTGAACTATTTAAAAAGTTATATTTTACAATTATTTTTAAATAATTATATATCAACGAGACAAGGCGACTGCATGTCAAGAAAATATAGAAAATTAAAAGAAGTTGAAAATTGACTTGAATTGCTAGTTGTTGTTTTACTTTTCTAAACTACCAATTGTGTTTCTCTTATGGCTTCGAGAAGCAAGAAAAGTCAGCAACGTATTTCCGAGTATGCCAAATAAAAAAGGTGATTTTTCTACTTGACCCTCCAATTTTTACCCTTGCCATTGACTTCTTACCCTCAACCCACGACTTTTAGGTACAATCCTCTAACATGATTGATATCATTTGATTATTCTTCAATTTTACTTTGGTTAGGGCTGCTCACAGTTTTCATTAATTGTTGTTCTCTCTTATATTCTGTATAATTTTATTACAATTACTTATCTAACAAGGTCAACAAGACTGTGATTATCCATGTTTAGAACATGTTGACTAAATAAAGCAAAATATTTCTTACTGTCAGGATTAAATTGTAGGCTGCAACCACATTCAACTTGAAGTCTTTTAATTGTTTCTCCATTTTTTCCAATTACAAAACCAACTATTTCCCTTGGGACAGGAATCTGCATGGTGAGCAAAACGACAACCACCATTAGCTCATTTACGTACAGAAGAATAAACCCTTTTAGCGATCTCTTTTACGCTGTGTTAGCCTCCAAACCATGTAATAAATTCTTTTATTCATAACAGCCCGTGCAAATGCAAGAGATCTGTGAGTATAGAAGACAATGGAAATAGTTTGAAATCTCACGAGTTTTATCTACATTTCTGAATATTTTAGCACACAATTGGGGCTAACACAGCGTAAAAGAGATTGCGAAACTCGACTATTGACTGACAAATGAAATAAAATAATCAAACATGGAAAATAAACAGTGAATAGACAGATATACACCTTTATTATATGACTTGGATAGTACATGCGTTCTGATTGGCTTACGCGAGAGCGATGTTTTGCTATCTCCGACCGATTACCATGACAACGGTCCGAAAGTTATATCCCGAGCGCCCGTTTGTTGACATTTTTCAAGGCGCAAGATTTGATTTTTTTGAACTGAATTTGAGAATAACTATATGAGAAAACTAGAAGGCGAAATCACAATACGAAAAACAAGGTCTAATATAACATTTTATACAAGTATCCATCTATTGAAAAAGGTATTACTGAGAGTGAGCAGCTTTCCGGTGGAGTGCTATCAGATCATTCAGTTCATGAAAATGAAATCGCTTTCAAAGCAGATTTCAAAGAAGCATGCAGCGACAGGTTGAAGAGGATGACTCCCAACTAAACATCTTCAAAGACAAGGAATTTAACACGCAAAGAACGTGGAAAAGGCAACAAAACACAAGTGACGAAATCTCTAAGCGATGAAAGACGAGAAGGCGCTTCGTGACTATACTAATAAAACCGAGGTTAGAAATTCACAGCATCACATAATGTAACTTCAAGATTTCCAAAGGTCCAGTGATGCTTCAACAAGGGAAAAGGCGTCGAAATGCTATCACTGAAAGCGACGATGAAGATTGAAAACGATTTGATTGTAGATAAAGTAGATAAAGCCTACTGATTTGTTTGTTTTTGTTGTGCTTTGACTAGATGAAAGACCCACAATTGTTGTTTTTCTACGAAATAAGTATCTTTCGAGACATTTAAATGATTGTTCTTCTGTGACATTGATAGCAATTCATTTTAGAATTGTTTTTATAACAGAAATATCTGTTTTCTGGTGTAAAAAACACACATTTTTGACAATTTGATTCCATGTGCTTTGCTTGCTTCAGTTGGACCAATCGATAGTCCAATCGATATTCGCGCGCTGTTTACAGTTTGCTTTTCCGATGTAGAAAAAAGTCACATAATAAAAGTGTTATTAACCTCGTTTGCTCGGTCTGTACAGAAAAATATCGGACCTCGGTCTCTAATGTACGAGACCTCGGTCCGATATATTTCTGTACAGACCTCGCGCTCGGTTAATAACCCTTTAATATAACCCACCTCTAAAGCACTGATATTTTCCTGTCCAGGCTTCTTATTTCCCATGATGTCAAATGCTGGTGTTATTTGCTTTAGGGGCAAGCGTTACAGCATGTTTTTAATACAAATATCATAAAAGCCTAAAAATATTACACTAAAACTAATTTAACCACTCAAATATTGATTGCTGGCCAATATGATAACTAAATTCAAAAACTAAATATATATTCTGTAGTTAAAATGAGATTGCCTCATTAGATAATACTGAGCCTGACCATGGTTACAGTACTTGAATTGTAATCTCTACATACTGTAGCTTATGCTATAGTTTCCTATCTTACTGTGTTAATCATTATAACTATGCCTAAAATATTATAAACATACAATTTGTGACCCTATTTGCGAAAACCAGGCTTAAAGGAAATAGTATTATCACCAGATTGCGTTATAACACGTTTTGAATCATTGTGAATGCATTCTGTCACATCAACAACGCGTTTTATATCATTACACGTACCCTGCTATGCAGGGGGTACGTGTAGTAAAATGCTGACACTTTCTTGGTTTTTTTTTTTCACAATGTCGAAAGTTTGGCTTCGGTACATCTTCGTAGCCAATCACATTGTGAATTATATATCCGGTAGCCAATCACATTACGTTGTGTATTCCGAACGCTATAGCCTGTCGATAATCCCGTTAGCAACATTTCCAACTCATTCTGCACAATGTTTTATCCGCCATTTTGATGAATATTGTCTCTACTAACGAATATGGAACAGAACATGAAGGTTTACGATCAAAATCTGGAACTCATTACTTGTCTGGGTGTTCGGACCAAGGGTATGTTGAATTGTGATGACGAGGAAATCTCACTACAGAGATCAACACGCTTACTACTCGTGAAGCAACGGCAACGATATAGTGATTGGGTTCCAATGATTGAATATCAATACAACTCTTTAGAAAATGCTTATTACTTCCATGGCTATTCAAACATCTGCAATAGATATGTCGAGTTTTAATGTAGATGTGCAAAAATATTGTGTTACTATCATATCAAAAGTTAATAAAGCGTCACGTTGTAACCAAATCATGCCTAGTTATATATCTCCGGGTATATCTGACCTTAAAATTATACTGCAGAATCACAAAGGCAGTTACAGCTGAAATTTTAAGAGCCACCACATATAAGCTTATCACAAAAATCACATATATCTTGGCAAGGCTCGATGGATCAAATCATTTCTTTATTCTCTATCAGTAAGGTTTTAATAAGGCCTCATTTACTAATGATCTCACAACATCATGCACAACAAAGGGTACGTGTCAACCCTGCATACAGGGTCTAGTTGTCACTGCATTGAAAAACATTCCCAATGGTTTGAAAGACATTGTAAAAAACATTGTGGTAATCGTTGGAACAAGCGTTGAGCAACATTTTAAAAACGTAGCCAACGTTTTATCATATCGTTAGAACAAAGTTGATTACCGTTTCAAAACATTACGAATGTTTTATCCTATCGTTAGAACAACGTTGAGGACCGTTTCAAAACATTATGAAAGTTTTATCTTATCGTTAGAACAGCGTTGAGAACCACGGCAAAACGTTTTAACTGAGCATTGCCTATCGTGATAACCGTTTCAAAGGATTCCAATGTTACTGTTTTCCAATGTCAATAGTTTTTACTATCATTATTATAAAGTCGTTACTAGTATGCTAATAACAACCAGTGAATTTTATTTTGTCACCAGTTGTCAGTAATCAGCTTACAGCTTCATTTCAGTACAAAATTTCTCACCTTTTTGTGTTAAAATGCGTACTTCCGATATTCAGAGATAAAAGTAACTAATCATGGAGGTCGAGCCGAATAAACTACAGTACTCAGTTGCGACCAAAATTAAAAAACGAAACAATCGATATCACATAACGCATTTTGAAATGATGACAACGATATTCAAAGCATTAAGATTCACGAGGCAACAATGTCCACAACGCATTCTGAAGTAATGACAACGATATCCAACGCATTATGAAGCGATCAAAACAGTGATGTCAAACGCATTCAAACGCATTTTGAAGTGGGCGAACAACGATGTCAAAATGCATTTTGAAGCGTTGGCAACGCTTTTAAATGTTGTCAAAATCACTGATAATAATTAATGCGTTTTGGAACATTGTGGAAGCGTTAAGGAACATTGTTATTGCTTTGAGGAACATTTTGAACGCGTTGAGGAACATTATTAACGCGTTGAAAATGCATTTAAAAGCAATTTTCCTTAAGCCTGGTTTTCGCAAATAGGGTCACATTCATTAAATGTCTTACAGCAACATTAGTTTTATTACCCATACTCAAGCAGCATAACTACCATAGTTAAGCTAAGGAATACAAGTAATCAGTGCAAACACTTGTGGCAAAAACACTTTTTTGTATCATTTATTTTCTTTTGAATCAAAGTGTGGTGCAGCTTATATTTGGACATAAAATGGTGGTATAATATAAAGTCACTTTCTGTAAAAACAATTACTTTCATTTCCTAGATAAGTGTTTTTGCTATATCAATAAATAACAAAAACACTAACAAACACACTACAGTAAATCCTGCTAATGTTGCCTGCTTGTAACGGAAACAACAATTAACACTTATTTACTGGAACCGAGGGAAACAGCATGTTTTGTGGTCCCGAGACCGTTGATGTCATCAGCGGTCGAGGGACCGCAAAACATGCTCTTTCCCGAGGTTTCCAGTAAATAAGTGCTTTATTATCATATCAAGTGTCAAAGAGAGCAAAAAAAGTAAATAAATGAATTGTTTTTATTAAAGATTTTGATAAAATAACTGAAAAATGGCAATACAAATAGTCACTAAAATCAATCAATGTAATAACACAATGAATACTAATTTAACTATGTGTAGTCGAAATTAAATGTTTCATAACAATTTTGGAATAGCAACGTTCGTAAATGTGACATTTTCACGAAACTGAAGATTGTTTTTCTGCGACTTTGTACTTATTGACGGTCCACAACATATTATTGACCGCTGGTGGACAGTTGCCAGGAAACAGTAAAATTTTGTGACTTTCACGTGGTACACTCTCGACCAATAAGATACTAGGAAAAGTGAACTTTGACACTTCATATATAATAAAGTCATTTGTTTACCATATCTTAAATTCTTTTTCCAGAGGTAATACAGTTTCGTTGAGGAAAACTTGCTTTTTTTGCAAATCCAACTATATATCTCCTACAAATAATTGTGTGTTGCATCATTCTTAAAACACAATGAAACAGAACATTATAACAGCTACAGTTGCAAAACATGTGATGTTAATAACATTTAATGTGCTAAGCTAATTTATCTAGAGTTTTAAACTGAAATACTTCTCATGAATATCAAAACATTTTATGCATGACTTTGTTGTTCTCTATTTGTCTTCACAACCAAACAATATTAATGGATTCACTGTATCTCCAGGAAATTAAATCAAAATTTACCAATGAATAGCTATTATATATTTGTTAGACAAGAAAGGTTGTATTGCCTTTTCTAGGACTGTACTGGTTAATGATAGAGATTAAGTAGCCATTAAAACTATTTGCTGCTGGAGTGCACACACTTAATTTGTAAAATATTATTGCTTTTTTGGGGGGTTTTCCACATCTGATTATCACAATCAGTGAATCTGGTAGAGTGCGAAAAGAAATCCAAAATAGTGCGAAAAAGTGTGGAGAGTAAATTTGCATCAATTAATTTTTGGGAGAATTTGACGTTGTTCTCTCGCTTTATTTAACCAAAAATAGTGAATATTCAAACGCCACTTTTGATTTCCTTTTAATAGTAAACATCATATTTCCATTTGTTTTTTTGTAGCGTAAAGAAGTTACATTTGATTTTTTTGTTACTTAGTGGCTTTCTACTGTTTTAAGTTACAAAGTTTTTCTCTTTTTTTWAAAAAAATAATACATTGTTTGTTTGTACAAAGCTCGGATAGCGCTATCCAGTGTATAAATCCTTATCAAGTGGATAAAATACGAACAAACATAGACAAGTGGTAAAATCCACGCTATCGATTCACACTTCGTAAATTATTAGTACCCAGTGTCAAACCCAGGCGTTCAAATACCATGCACGGAACGCCTGGGTGTTTTTTTGATGAAATGTAATTTTCTTCGAGATTGCAAGCGATTCAAGCGCTATAAAAGATACAATTATCGTTTATTTTGCCAAAAAAGGTAAACAGTACATCTTTTTATTCTATCAGAGCAATTTTATTTGTTTACTATGTGAAATAAACCATGAAAATCCATGAAAAGTGTGAGAAATTGAAAATAGTGCGATTCGGTGCGATATGAGGTAAATAGTGCGGGATCGCACCATCACACTCTACCAGATTCACTGCACAATTGAGTAGTAGGTATTTTAGCTATTTCTATTAAGTGTGCACTCTTACAATACAACATTATCACAGTTTAAAACATGATAGTACATATAAATATAAAATATTATGAATATTTTGAATTGAAACATGGAAACAGTTGTTAGTGCCAACTAGAACTCAAGCTATGAACTAATAAGAGTAAAACAGGTTATACATGAATATTGCCAAACTAAGTGCCAGATTACTGATAAACACTAAGCCATTAAAGCTATTTTAAGATTTGTAGGTGAGGCCTACATTGGACAAGACAAAGATCTTTTATATGCTGAAACAATATCAAGGGTATTTTAGTTTCTGATTACTAGAGAACTCTTATCATTGTGAGTCATGTAAAAAGTAACAAGCAGAAGGCAAATAAAGTGGATACTCAATATTGTCAGGAGAATTTGTCCTTATACTGCGAGTAAGGCATTTAGTCCAACAACCAGACAACTGTCTTGTTGTCATTCATACTTATATTTCCTTTGCAAAATAAGACTATGCTAAGCAATATGGACACAGCAGAAGAATCCCAATCATGTTACAATGAAACATTGTAATCAAAAGAGTTCAAACAGGCTAAACAACCCTTTAATGCATCAGGTACATAAAAGTCCAATGTCTCACACTATTGTCATGCAAACTCACCTCTAGTTCTTTCTCTGTAAGCAGATCTGTAACAAGATCTTTTCCACGTTGGCATCTGGTAGGATCACCCATGATTCGCAAGGGTTTTTCTGGAGCATTTTGATATGGGCCATCCTGAATCATAACCATGCGACATTGTGCTCTTTCTTGTAAACTCTTGATAGTTTCTCCTCCTTTACCTAATTTAGACACAGTAAAGCAGCATAAACATTTAGCCTGTTCCCTCTTGGAATACAGAGTCTTTATGAAGGAGAACTGAATGAAAATTAACATACCAATAATGAGTCCAACTTTACTTGCTGGTATCATCATTTCACACATCGTTTCTCCTGGTGCTACTACTGGCGCAGACATCTACAACATCATATTACTTGATTAGCTTTGTTTGACTTGAAAGTAGATTTTCACAACCCTTCTAAAACAATGGTTGAAAACTCTACAGTATTGCTGGATTTCAAACCGTGGGGGACTGGGCAAAACCCGCTAATTGGATAATCATGACATAAGACTTGCATAGAAAGAAAACCCTTGTTGAGAACTGCAAAATTTTAAAATTTGATGCAAATCAGTTCAATAGCTAACGAGTTACAGCCTTTCAAATATTCTAAAATTTCCAAAGAAATGATCTAATGAATGTGCCCGGAAAATGATCAAAATGCAGACACATTGGCGGCTTCCCATACATTTCTTTGGAAATTTTAGAATATTTGTAAGGCCGTAACTCTTTCACTGTTGAATTGATTGACACCAGATTTTGGAATTTTACATTTCTCAACAAAGGCTTTCTAATTCTATGTAAGTCTTATCTCGTGATTATCCAATAAGGGTATTTTGCCCAGTCCCCACTCGATTTGAAATCCGGCAATGCAAGTATTTCACCATTGTTTCAAGACCAGTCAGGATAGCATTTTTTCTTTTGTGAAATCAGTACAACACAAAAGTTAAAAGCCAGAAACAAGCATAAACAACAATCAAGTGATCACAATATGCACATAAAGGAGTATGGAATGATCACAAAAGAGATATTTATGGTAAGATTTACCAGACTATCTGGTATTTTTCCTTCTTCACAAATTCTTTGTAGAAGTTGTTTTGCTTTGCTGAAAAATACAGAACAAAATTACTGAATGCAATTCTTTTCTTTCAAGACAATGGTGTTTGTTTAGCAAGAGCTACTTATTTGTGATCAAAATGCAGACTTGCTTTATTGACATGTCTCAATCGATAAATTGATAGGAGTCCGGCAGCTGCTCATGTGCTCTACAGCTTCTGTGGAACAATTAATACTCACTACTCTATGATGTTACATTTCATGTACATTATATATCTATTAATAGGAATCTGGCAGTTTATGTGTACATTTAAGTCAATGTATGAAACCATAGTAGTTTCTCTATCAGCTCACATCATTTATGTACCGTATTTACCCATGTATAAGCCGCAATATTTTTCCCAAAAAAATCATTTTGGTAATGTGATGCTAATTTGCATTGTTCCTTTACACAACTTTGTCACACTTAAAGTGAAGAATCGATCCAGAGTAAATATTTTAAATACCCAAGAAATAAACCTAAAAAATTGTTCCTTATATTAAACAAATACAATCTTCTTAAATATTTTTTTTGAAATACGAAACGATCCTTATGTTTAGAAGTTTGGCGGCACAATGAGATTTATATTATCACCCAAGTTAATTACTAGTTTGCTTTTACCTTTTGAATGAAAAACAACTCTTTAAATATAGTATCAATTACTAGTATCAATCTTAACAATTATGTCTCCAAGATCATCATATACCGCACGTTAAATAAAGTGATTGTAATTGCATACGAAATGCATGGATCACGGAAATCGAGCAGCGGAAAAGCACTTTAAAATCAAAGAAAGCTGTGTTCGCAAGTGGTGATCAAAAAGAGAAAAGTTTATTTTCCATCTTTTCTTTCTCAAAAACGTTCCTAAAACTCGGGGTGCGGCTTATCTACGAGAGCGGCTTATACATGGGTAAATACAGTATCTTTAATCTACTTTATTTATCTATTCTGGCATGTCGGAATTATGTGCAGGTCTATGTGGATGCGCATAATGGCTCTTTTTCCACATAATTATTACCAAATTGTGCATAATCCTGCATAGTTCATGATTTTTTTCCATTTTATACCATTTTCAAAGATAACTTGCCTTCTACTGATGTTTTTTGTGGTTCCTTGACTGTTTTTTTTTTGCTCAAAAATCGCTTCCAAACATTCCGAATATATTTAAATTTGTTTTCGTGGGCTTCACAAATGACCAGACGTTCAAATCTCATCAGAAAAGAGTCTGGACACTACATACCAGATTCCAAGATGGCGTACAGTAAGTGAGACGTAAAGAAAGCGAGAACTGAAAAGTCTAAAAAAAGTCTTTCCTTTGATTGGTAATGCCTTCGATATTTCATGACTATAGACAAAACTGTAGTTTTAAATGAAAAACAACAACACAATAACCTAAAAATATGTAAAATTTCCCAGTTTTACTTTCTTGTGATGATGTCATGCCGCGCAATGTACCCTTTTCTATGCATAATATGGGGAAAAAATACTAAATAATTTTGATTTTTTTTTTTTTTCGTGCAAAATTCCGACATGCCTGTCTATTGATAGGAGTCCTGACTCACTCTACAGCTTGCGTGGATCCATTGATAGTCACTGCTCTGTCTGGTGGTGGCATGGCTCCTAATGGTGGATCTACCATGGAATGACAAGTGATTTTAAATGAGCAAGTTGAGTTTCACAAACATTTCAAACACTAGATGTATTGGGCAAACAGAAAAGCATTATGGATGTGTACATGTATTTATACCTGGGGCAACTTGTATTTTGGCACCTGTCTCTGACTGGAGTTTGTTAATCTGTTCACCACCTCTACCAATAACTAAGAATGACAAGAATGTTGGTTTGTTAGGAAGGAAAATATCTAAGTTACAATATATGTTTTGGATTAAAATGCTAATTAACTATAATTCAGTCGGAAGACTACAAGGTGTAAACAAAAAAGTGCCAAAACGTCCATAATAAAACAGAGATATTACAGCTTCAAGTTGCTGTTTTGTTTAATTTCATTCTGCTTACAGCCTTTTGCAAAAATTATGAGAATTGTCTAAATATCTAAATATCATAATATCGAGTGCATGATGGGTAATCCCGTGCGATGCCCTTAGTCCCTTGTCTTTGAAGTTTTTTTTTTTGGCGACAGACTTATCCGTAGTTCTGAACATTTTCTCGATGTCAACAATGAATTATTCTAGCAAACCCGCGTGTTCCGGACAATATATGGATATGGATATTATGATATTTAGATATTTAGACAATTCTCATAATTTTTGCAAAAGGCTGTATATCTAAGGTATATATAAATATCCTTGCAACAGAAATACATACATACACATGTATTTCTATGAGGGTATTAGCATTCATCAAGACTTATGTTAGATACAAACTAGATGATCAGCGATCGCATACATGGGCTTCCTGTGGTAAGATTTCATTCAGATGGGTGTCATCCTCACTGGGTGGGATTTTCTTTTGTTATTCACAGCAAGATAAATGTATTTTTGAATTTGACCTGGATACAGTGCTTTCTTGACAATATTTTACTTTTTTTAAAAATACAGTATTTATATACAGTAGTTTGAAATTCTTTTTGTTACTAATAGTCTCCTTACGGTTACCTGCGCCATCTTGAAAGGTAGCCGTGCCTTTGCATCGAAGCGAGACAACCGTTGAGCGTGCAATGATAGATACCAGCTGTGAATAATCGTCTATAGGTGTGAAAGAAGGTTTCTATCATTGCACGCTCAACGGTTGTCTCGCTTCGATGACAAGGCACGGCTACCTTTCAAGATGGCGCAGGTAACCGTAAGGAGACTATTGTGCATTTTCAACAACATTTGTAACATTTTGTCATGATATTCATTGATTTGTCACCGTGTCTCATAGGACTATGAGACAGGGATTCTGGCATTATGTGCACACAAAAAATCAAAATTATGAAGGATTTTCAGAGAAGATTAATGCATAAAAAATGAATTATGCACAAAATTATGTGTGATGTCCTGTTTTGTTAAATAAAGGATACTTTAGTACTTTCTGTGACATTAAAAAACAAAAACAATACTCAGGTCAGACACAAAGATAGGTAACATGTATATATACATGTTGTAGTTCAGGTTCAATATGATTTTGAACCAGTTCAATTTCTTCTGAACTGGTTCAGTTTATTTTGAGCCAGTCCAATATAACTCAATCCAGTACAAATCAGTTTAGGGTTAGGTTTAAGGTTAGGTTTAGGTTTTGGGTTAGGTTTAGAGTTGGGAATAGTGTTGAGCCAGCATTATATAAAAATGTTCTTCATTATTAATAAGATAAAAACAATTTTCAAACATTACTACCAACAAAATCCTTGATGGCATAATTGAAGGGGCGGATGCGAAAACGACTTAAGTGACGATTTAGGGTATTTTTGAAATTTTCGAAAAATTGACAAAAAAATCGCTTCAATCATTTGTTTCTGGTCTAAATAATCATGTTTGCTAGTTATTTCTCGTGATTTCCTTTTAAAAAGCGGAAAAAAGTCGACATTTAGTTACAGACTGTACCCTCCCCTCCCCCAAACTTTAGCGGCATAGGGTTAGTTCCAGCCTTATGCAAGAGTTAGGGTTCCTATAGCCTAAGACAGGGGCTAGGGTTGCTTGATTTAGGGTTAGGGTTAGAATAGTTAGGGTTTAGGGTAGGGTAGGGTTAACGTTAGCTAAGCGTTAGGCTCTAAAACCTGAGTTTGTAAAGCAAACAAACTCCCCCCCCCTCCCCCCCGAGTCCACATGACGACTTCATGACCGACAAAGTGTGTAATTTATTCTAAACCCGAGTTCACTCGGGTTTAGAATAAATTATAAGTTTCTAAGTAATGTTTTCCATATATAGAATGAATTCTACCAAGAAAAAATGTTGTTTTTGTGAATACAACACATGATTATATTGATTTTAAGCTTTTGTAGAGACGTT